ATAGAATTCAGTGACTACTCTTAGATTTTTTTGCTAGTGTCAGATACACAAAAATTATGCCTTGAATAGTGTAGACACTTATTTCTCTCTTATGTTAAAAAAAAAAAAGGTCTAGAGCTAAGCAATATAGGATAGTTTGGAAGCCTTTGGTTGTCTGGCCCTGGTCACGTTATTTCGAAAGTCTATCAGATAGGCAAGTGCAGAAGTTAAGCAGGCAGCTGGGCACGTGGGTCTGGAGTTCAGGCAAGACACAGGGCTGCGGATAAGCATTTGTGAGTCATCAGTGTGTAGATACGGTTCAAAGCCTTGGTGCCCCTGGGGAGACCAAAGCTGAGCTGAAGAGTTCAGCGATGCTGGGGGCTGAGAAATCACTCAGGGGGGGCTGGCCCTGCCCGCCAGACAGGCTCCAACCTTGTCTCCTGCAGCGTGCCCTCTAGGACACTGGGGGGCCAACTGTGCCCAGCTCTGCCAGTGTCGCCATGGCGGGACCTGCCACCCCCAGCATGGGAGTTGTTTCTGCCCCCCAGGCCGGACCGGACATCTCTGCTTGGAAGGTACCAGCAGAAGGGGAACTCCATGCCCCTGCCTCCAAGTCAGCCCTAGCCTGAGGAGGGGACTGCTGTTCCCTGGCCCCTCTGATCCCCGCCTGCCTCCTCGGCTCTCTAAACAGGCTGCTCTCCAGGGGTGTTCGGTGCCAATTGTTCCCAACCATGCCAGTGCGGTCCTGGAGAGAGGTGCCACCCAGAGACTGGGGCCTGTGTGTGTCCCCCAGGGCACAGTGGTGCCCCCTGCAGGATTGGTGAGTTCTCATCTAGCCCCCTCCCTACCCACACCCCGCCCCGCGCTGTCCCCAGGGAACCAGGACACAGGTACATGCCCAGGTCTCTGCTAGGTGGTACCCTTGTATCACCCTGCCCCTCTACTGGGGCCTCTCCCATGCATGCATCCCCAGCTCACCAGTAGGGCCAAGACACTGTCCTGAGTGACCACCCCATCCCCCACAGGAAGCCAGGAGCCATTCACCATGATGCCTACCTCTCCAGTGGCCTATAACTCACTCGGGGCAGTGATTGGCATTGCAGTGCTGGGATCCCTGGTGGTGGCCCTGGTGGCGCTGTTCATTGGCTACCGCCATTGGCAAAAAGGCAAAGTGCACCATCACCTGGCAGTGGCCTACAGCAGCGGGCGGCTGGACGGCTCTGAGTACGTCATGCCAGGTGAGCTGGCCTGGGGGCGGGGACGCACATGAGTGGCTGGCTCTTAGGTACAGGGCAGATGGGGTGTGGGGCTCCTGCATCCCTCCCTGGACCTTGTAGGTGGGAAGCGGGGAGTTGGAGAGAGTGAGAGAGGTCAGAAGGCTGATTAGGGATCTCCTGGAACAGGCCCAGGCTGGTCTCTGGCCGGGCAGGTCACCCTGCAACTGTGTCTGTCTGTGCAGATGTCCCTCCGAGCTACAGTCACTACTACTCCAACCCCAGCTACCACACCCTGTCTCAGTGCTCACCTAACCCCCCGCCCCCTAACAAGGTCAGTGTTGGGGGTGGGGATGCACTCTGGATGCCCTGTGGGCACAGCCCGGTTCTCCGGAAAGCTCCAGCTGTGCACGTCGCTCTCCCTGTCCCACCCCTCCCCTGCCAGGTCCCAGGCAGTCAGCTCTTTGCCAGCCTCCAGGCCCCTGAGCGGCCAGGTGGAGCCCACGGGCATGATAACAACCACGCCACACTGCCTGCTGACTGGAAGCACCGCCGGCAGCCCCCTCCAGGGCCTCTGGACAGGGGTAGGAGCCTGGGGCCCAAGGCCTCTGGTGAGGGGGCATGTGTACAGCCCAGCGTCCTGCTTCATCTGAGTGCGTGTGTCTGTGGAAAGGGATTCTGGGCCCCAGTTCTAGAGGAGGTGGGACCTTGGGCAGGGGACCAGGGGCCTGATTGCAGGTTGCTTTCTCCTCCTCAGGTAACAGCCACCTGGACCGAAGCTACAGCTGTAGCTACAGCAACAGGAATGGCCCAGGCCCCTTCTACAGTAAAGGTGAGGGCAGGGCAGGGCAGGGGAGCGAGGGAGGGAGCTGCGCTGGGGTTTAGGGGCCAGTGCCTCCACCGAGCCTGATTTCTTTCCCCTATCTTTAGGGCCCATCTCTGAAGAGGGGCTGGGGGCCAGCGTGGCTTCCCTGAGCAGTGAGAACCCCTACGCCACCATCCGGGACCTGCCCAGCCTGCTAGGGAGCCCCCGGGAGAGCAGCTACATGGAGATGAAAGGCCCTCCCTCAGGGTCTCCCCCCAGGCAGCCGCCTCAGCTCCGGGACAGCCAGAGGCGGCAACACCCCCAGCCAGAGAGAGACAGTGGCACCTATGAGCAGCCCAGCCCCCTGACCCATGGTGAGCCTTCCTTCTCCACTGGGGCAGAGAGAACAGGGACCAGGGAGGTGGGAAAAGAGAAGGGACAGAGGGCGAGAATGCGGAGTGGGCATGAAGTGGCAGCAAGACCAAGGCCTTTGGGGGTCAGACTTGGGCTCAAACCAGGCATGACGTTTGGGAAGTCACACTGCCTCTTAGAGCCTGTAGGTGGCGGTACCTCCCTCAGAGGGCTGAGTATTTGAAATGGTGGTTTTACAGCACCTGAGTTGTAGACTTGATACCCAGAAAAGGTGGGAACAAGGCAGGTGACAGAGCATCTTCCTATCCTGTGAGGTGGGCAGGTCGAGATGGGCTCCCCCACTGGCAGCTGAGGAGCTGCACAAACTGGCCTATAGCCAGGCACTATGCATCCGTCTTCCGGCAGAAGAGGCTGGAGAGGGGAGGAGAGTGGTGGGAAGTGGGAGGAGCCACCTCCTTCTCATCTTCATCCCTCTCTGTCTCCAGACCGAGACTCTGTGGGCTCCCAGCTGCCTCTGCCTCCGGGCCTGCCTCCTGGCCACTATGACTCACCCAAGAACAGCCACATACCTGGACACTATGACTTGCCTCCAGTACGGCATCCCCCGTCACCCCCACTTCGGCGCCAGGACCGTTGAGGAGCCAAGATGGTGTGCAGAGGTCAGCACACCGGTTCTTTGCTACTCAAGACTAAGGACAGAGACCGCTGTACCCTGCCAGGAGCAGGGAGAGGACTGGCCGGCCGTGAACATGAACATGTTTAATAGAGGAAGTGAATGGAGAGGAGATGGGAGCCTGGCTCCCAGGTTCTACCATGGGAAACACTGGTCAGCAGGAAACCTGTGTTCCTTTTCCCCAACCCATTGCTCCCCAAGGCCCCCAGGGCCCTGTATACATAAACTGGTGGGTTGAATGTTGCTGGATAACTGATTTCAGATTGCTGTAAGAAGTGTATATTGGGTAACTTTTCTGTGCACTCCCGGGCTAGGCTCTGTGTGTGCGTGCATGCGTGTTTTCAGAGGCGTACCAGGCACTGATCCTGTCCTGGGGCACTCACTATATAGTGGAGAGGCAGCCCAAACCCAGTTAACTCTAGAAATAGCGTGACTGGCCTCCCTGCATTCATTTGGTACTCCCGCCAACCAACTGCTTCAAAATACAAGCTGGTTAGCTTACCCCTGCCTGAAAGTCTCCGTGGGTGCCCCATGGCCCTTGGGCTACAGTCAAAATTGTCCAAAGCCTTAAAGGCTTTGCTGGCCTGGCCTGCCTGTCTCTTCAGCCTCACTCTGAACTGTGTTCCCTATCACTCTGCCCCAGTCACACTGGCCTCTACGTCCTCCTATCAGCCACACGTCTTCCTACTACAGGGACTTGGCACATCTGGAATGCTCTTCCTCCCCCACTCACCGGTTAACTCCTGCTTGTCCCTCACACCCCGTGTTCTCTTTCACAGCACTGATTACTGATGTGTTCATGCACCAGTTACCTGCAGAAGGCCTACAGGGTGCCAGGCACCTCTGTAATGTGTTTTTTTTTTAGTGTGATTATTTGATTAATCTCTGCCTCCCCCACCAGACTCTTAAGTTCCCTGAAAGCAGGAATCCTGTGTTTATGTTCAACACTGGCTCCCCTTGGCACATGGTAGGCACTCAATAAATGTTCCCCCAAAGGCTGAGTGGCTGAGTGAGTTAAAACTACCAGTGGTAAGTGCTGGCAAGTGCTAAGATAGCTGGGCAAACTGGTGCTCTGAGAGCTGAAAGACTGCATAGGTCAGAGTCTTCCCCAAAGGGTGGCGTTTCTACAGGGGAACAGCACAAAAGCTCAATGGTGGGAAGGTCTGGGAGTGACGGTCGGGGAGGGGAACAGACTGGAGTGGGGAGGTTGGAGCCCGGAAAGCAGAGGGGAGAGAGTATACTCTGATGGGGGCCCGGTAGGGTCTAGGCTACCTGAGGACTTTGAATCCAAGATTTCTTGGAAGCGTGACCCGCCTCCTAAACTCGTTAGCGGATCAACTAAGTCCCCAGACCTCCAGGAGGCTACATAGATGGGGTCGAGATTACAAACCCAGAGCCACGCCAGCTCGCTAACTCGGTGGGTCTCTCTGGGCCTTTTCCATCAGGAGTCCTCTCCTTACAGGGTAGGAGGGCCGACCCCAGAGAGTGGATCTGTCTCCAACCGGACCCTGCTTCCCTAGATTCCTCCGACTGCCGCTATCTCTAATACACGGGGTCGGATCCCGGCTTTCCCCGATTCAGTTTCTCGGGTGACTTTGGACAGCTCCTTGCCCGCCCCCTAGCCCCGCCTCTCCGTCCTGGTCTCGCTCTAGCCCAGCCCCCTCCACTCCGGTCCAGTCCGGTATCCACTCGTCTTCCTCCGCCACGGCTCCGCCCAGGTCCTTCTCCTTTCGCACAGGGTCCGCGGGGTCCGGCCCTCCAGGGCTCCAGGGCTCCCCTGCCCCTGTGACCCAGGGCTGCCCAGGCTCCGCTCTGGCCCCGCCCTTCTCGGCTGCCCTAGTTCCGCGGCTCCGCCTTCCGGGCTCCTTCCGCCCCCTGATGACTCTGTGGTGCCCCCTGTTGGCCTCGCGTGCGCTCTGTGGTTGCCCCTTGCCCTCGGGCCCGCCCACCTCGCGCGGTTGTCTTGGAGAGGGACGCTGAGGCGACGCCGCGGCAGGCGGGTCCCGCCTGTGGACGCGGAATAGAGACCCTTGATTCGGCCACCTCCAGGGCGAGCCCCACAGAATCCCGTCCTGCCTCCTTGCCCCCGTGAGTGTCCCCAGAGTCTCTGCGGACGGCACCAGCATGTCGGGCGAGGCGAGCGCACCACCAGTGGTCTCACCCAGGGTCCCGCGTCCCGGGATCCAGAAGTCATCCGGTGCAGTGACCAGGAAAGGGGACCGCGGGGCCAAGGAGAAGCCGACGACCGTCCTGCCGCCGGTGGGGGAGGAGGAACCCAAAAACCCTGGTACGCTGGTGGCGGGGTTGGGGGATCAGGCCTCTAGGCTTCTCCGCGCGCTCCCAACAGCCACTCGTCGCTCGGGTTAGCCAGATTGGATGGGGCGTCTTCGTTGTGCCAGGCAACGGCGGGCGAGACAGACGAGCCAGTAAATAATAACAGAATTTCTGGCGCTGAGGAGCGCTGTGTGGAAGAGGGCTCCACCAGCTGAAGTTCCTGGCACATGGTAAGGGTGTTCTAAGTGGTCACCGTTGTGAGGTGTGCACGTGTTACTAGGCACGTTTCTTCTCTGTAGTATGGAGTCCTGCCCTGCGTATTACTGGGAGGTACAGTAGAGTTGATGGTGAGAAAGGATTTTATAAACTGCAAATTCACTTGTTCACTCAACAAACGTACATTGTGCACCCACCCAAAGCGCCCTGCTCCATCCTGAGATATGAATCACAGTTTTAGTCCCAGCACAGTTCCTGAGACTCAGCTTGGCAGACGTTTGACTTGAACTTGATCTTAAAGAAGCCACACTCTGGTTTGGGATGCTGACAAATACAATAAGATGTGCTAATTTGTATCAGAGAAGAAGGTCCAGGGAGTGGTGGAAAGACACAGGGGCGCTGCCGGGAGGTGCCTCTGAGTTTAGTTTTATAGATATTCATTCATTTATTCAACAATTACTTTTTGGATGCCTGCTCTGTGGTCAGGTCCAATAGAAAGAGAACGAGATGGACACAGTCCAGCTGGAATGGAATTTACATTCTCTAGGAAAAGAAAACCATTGGAAAAGTATGCGTATGAGTGTGGCTCTTTATGTTGCAAGTGATAGAACCCCAACCCAAATTAATTATCCACAAAGGGGAATTGATTGGAAGGCTTCTTGATTCAAATCTACCAGCTTTGCCTTCAAAGAGGGACAGGAACTTGCTGTCTCTGGACTCAAGGAAAAACAACTTGGGAAAAGACTCTGATTGTCAGACATTGGTCAGGTGCCATCTCCTTGTCAGTGCTGGTGGCTGGGCGGGGGGAGGAAGCTCTGGGAGCTGGAGAAAGAGCATTTTCCAGAAGGAGAGACAAGACAGGATAGAATCTCCTACAGAAATGAACCTAGTTACATTAACACACACACACACACATACATACACACACACTCACACCACTCTGGCTGCTGTGTGGAAAAATGGAGTGGCAGAGGGAGAGAATGAAGGTAGGCAGCTGAGTTATGAGGCATTTCAATAGCCCAGGTGAGGGACAGTGGTAGTTGTGGACTCGGGTAGTGAGGGAGATGGGTTAGGCTCCTTGGAACAGTACTTCTGAGGTAGAAAAAGAGTTGGTGAAGTAGTGGATGGGGTGGAAAGTGGGGAAGGTAGCAAGAATGATTCCATGTTTCTGTACTGGGCACGGGGTGGGTTAAGGTGCCATTCATGGAGACAGGCAGGCCTGAAGGAAGAGCACGTAAGAGATCTCCAACGGGTGATGTCGGCTGAGCAGCTGCATGGAAGCGTGTGGAGTGGTGAGAAGATGTCAGGGCTGGAGATGTGAATTGGGGAGCTGCTGATGTTTGGGTGCCTTTAAGCCCTGGGAATGAAAGAGATTCCCCTGGGGAGGGGGGAGTGGAACCGGAGACAGGAAAGGGCTCAGGACCCAGACTCAGTGATCTTAGAGGAGAAGGAGCTCCCCCAGGCAGGGGGAACCAGAGGGGTTGGAGAGAAAGGGAGTGATAACGGGACAGGGCCACACGGTCACAGCGGCTTTAGCAGCCGCTATCATGTGTTGTGGCAGGGCTCAAATGGGGTAGCGAGTGAAGGCAGTTGTAGGAACGTTGATAGATTGAGAGGACATCGCATCTGGTGGCTTCTATTTCTCAAGGAGCTATGAGGCAAGGTCATAGCGAGTGTGAGGAGGGAGTGTGGGAGGGGAGGAGAGCAGGAAGGAGCAAGGCCCTTTCGGAGCTGTGCTGCCCACTAGATCACTGCTAGCTACAGCCCAGAGGTGGAACACTTCCATCGTCCCAGTATGTCCTGTCGGGCAGTGCTGGTCTAGAGCAGCGGTTCTCCCTGGACCATCTTTGGCATCATCTGTGAGCTGGTTAGAAATGCAAATTCACAGACTCTACCCAGCCTATGGAATCAGAATTTGGGGGGATGGGGCCCCGCAAACTGCTTTAACAGGCTTTCCTACTGATTCTTACAGAAAGATGTTAAAGTTTGAGAACCTCTGTTTGGGGAAAGATGGTGTGAGTGAAGCAAGGAAGGACCCACCCAGCAGAGGGAAGAGTCCGGGAAAGCAGGCAGTGTGCAGGAGTCAGCTGTACGAGGGGCTCCCCTAGCCTCCCAATGCCTCCTCTCATCAGCCTCGTCCATTCAGCTAATGTCTCTCGGGTGTCTGTGTTCCCCCTGACGTCTGGGTGCCTGTGTCTCTCACCCTTTTGCCACGAGAACCCTCAAACCTCTCTGCATCTTGCCCCACAGTGCTGAGCACACGTCCTGCCAGCCCCCCTGCACCCTCCGGGCAGGCTCCCTGCTGTTGGGTGCAGGGGTTCTGTCGGGGGCACAGTCCCTGCGGCGCCTGCCGCCTGTGGGGCTCCAGGCTGTCCTGCACTTGGAAGAGCAGGCTGGCACCAAGCCCACCCTTCTGCCTCCGGTTTCTCGCCTTTGCCAGGGACACCCCTTCCCGTCTCAAGGAACCACTTCTTGTTGGGATGCCCATGCAGGAGCAGGAAAGAGCAGGGGTCTTTGGGGACTCAGGCACCTCAGGTTTGCATAGCCCTCAGGATGGGAAGTGGTGGGCATCTGTCTGAATTAATAAAACTCTTGAATGAGTTAAGATTTCCAAAGCATATATAGAACCGTGTGGGACAGGAGTAAGTGCTATATCAATGTTTGCTAAATAAATAAAAGCCTACCACCTTGCTGGGCCTCGGTCTACCCGAGTGCGGGCGTGGGGATGGGGGTGGGAGCGCGGGCAGGTGGAGAGGTCCTTCTGCTTTCCTTCCTTTGCTCACATCAAGCCTGGGCCTTCTTTCTCCGTGTGACCCTGGGCAGTCCCCGCAAGGAAGGAACGTGGGAGGACGCTGGGCTGGGGAGGAGGAGGCCCCCCAGGGAGCGGAGAGCGGGAGTGGAAGCGGCCTTGACCCACAGGGTGGGTGGACGAGCCGGCACATAAAAGAGGCGCCCTCATTGTCTACATTCCACGCCCTTTAGTCCCCTTCCTCCTAGGTCTTGATTTCCCACTGTTTCCTCTCAAGTGTTTTCAGTGTCGGTCTCTACAACGCATCTTACATGTTAAAAATGGCTGTGAGGACGTCTGCCTCGATGGAGGGGCCGCTGCCCGCCCAGAGGCCTGAAACCCCGCGCGGGCGAGCGTGGGAACGCGGCGCAGTGCGCCGATCCCTGGCGGGCGGGGGCGCAGGGCTGGGTGGGACGTCCTCTGGTCTCTGCTGCCCTCTGTTGGCAGCCTTGGGCTACAGGCGGCGGGCGCGGCGCAGCGCTACGCTTCCCCTCCCGCTCTCGTCCCCGCCCCCACAGAGGAGTACCAGGGCACCGGCGTCCTCGAGGTGGACTTCGCTGAGCTCTGCACGCGGTGGGGCTACACGGACTTCCCCAAAGTGGTCACCCGGCCCCGCCCGCACCCGACCTTCGTCCCCTCCGCCTCTACGTCGGAAAAGCCCACCGTAGGTGAGTGACAGTGGAGACGCCGGGGTGTCTGTCAGGCCTACCGCGTCCATCCCCCATCGCACGGCGGGCCGAATGGCGGGGACGCAGGGCAATGTGTGTGTGAGTGAGCGGGGTGGATTCAAGGGGGCTGGTGGGGAGGTGGGGGCGGTCTTCCGTCGTCCTTTCCAAACCCTCGCAGATGTGGCTCTGGCGGAGTCCTCCAATCCCGCGGCTCCCTGGGAGCCGTCCCGATCTCGGCCTCTCCGGCTCCCGTAGGCCGGCCGGGGCGTGGGGCCTGGGGGCGGTGACTCTGCCCCCTCCCTCCTTCCCCGGCTCCTCGCACCCCTGCCTTCTAGACGAACAGCCGCTGTCCGGGTCCTGCAGCTTCAACAGCCTGGAGAGCAAATACGTGTTCTTCCGGCCCACCATCCAGGTGGAGCTGGAGCCCGAGGACAAGTCCGTGAAGGAAATCTACATCCGCGGTGAGGTCCGCCCCCCCACCCCCACCCCCCTGTCCCTCTCACCAGCCGTCCACCACCGCACCTCTCCCGGCCTGAGGCGCCTTCTTCCTTTCCCTTCCGCAGGTTGGAAGGTTGAGGAGCGTATCCTGGGTATCTTCTCTAAGTGTCTGACCTCCCTCAGCCAGCTTCAGGCCATCAAGTGAGGGGACATGGGGGTGGGGGAGGGGCAGGAGGCCAGTGTTGGAGAGGGGCCACCAGTGGTCTGGGAGAAAGAACTGAAGGGGCATGGAAGGCCCTGGGGACTGTGTGGAAGGTGATAAGGAAGGGTGTGGCTGGGGTGTCAGGGTGGCTGGAGAGGACAAGGTGGGAAAGAGGTGGTGCTCCAGCTGCGTTTCTGTGCTTCCCACCATCTCCAGCTTGTGGAAGGTGGGGCTGACTGATAAGACCCTGACCACCTTTATCGCCCTCCTGCCTCTCTGCTCATCCACGCTCAGGTGAGCAGAGGGGAATAGGCAAGGGGGAGGCTACCTGGGTAGCCTGGCTAGCTGGGTGGTCAGAAGTGAGCAGTTTGGAGACGGGGGTGACAAGTTCCAGCTCCTGTGGCCTGGGCTGGCATCCCTGTGGAAAGAGGGTGCTGCTACTGTCTGTTGGGTTTTGAAGCTCCCATCTGACAAGCAGTGGGGTCCCCTTTTCTGCCTACTCTGGTGCCTAAAGAGCCTACCTTTGGGGCCTTATCCCCTCTCCTCTCCATCAGTCCCACCACTACCCGCTCTCTCCCTGGCGGTTCCTCACTGCCTGGTGTCTGACACTGTACTAGGGACTGGTTCTTATCCTACAGGGACTGGCAGTCCAGTGAGGGAGGGAGAAGGGCATAGGAGTGGATACTGCAGGGCACTGTGGGGACTGTAGTGGTGGAAGAATGGTTCATGAGAGACATGGAAGGCTGCCTGGAGGAGGTGGTGCTAAGCTGAGCCTTGAAGGAGGAATAGGAGGGGCCCGCCGGCAGGGAACGGGGAAAGGGCATTCTTGTATAGGAGGGAGCCAGAGCAAGGTGTGGAGTAGTATAACCACAGGGGTGGTTGCTGTATAAAGGACACAGCTGATTTGGCTGCCCTTTGTTGAAGCTCCCCCAGCGCCCTTGACTTCTCCTGCTTCACAGAACCCACTGTCACTGGCTTGCCTCCTCACCTGTCTTCCTCCTGTAGATGGGATGGATGCTTCTTGAGGGCAGGGATTTTTTCTCCTTCAGCTGGAGGTCCTTGGGTGCTCTTTGTCTTGAACGCCACAAAACACATATTGTATTCCGTCGTGGGAATTAGAAACAATTTAGCCAGCAGGAGAAAAACTATAGAATTCATCTTAATATGTAAAAATAAATCAGATCAACATGATAAAAATAATTAAAAATAAATGCAATCAAGTTTAGATGCTAGATGAGCCAGGCTGAAAGGTTGGGCAAATATCATGAGAGAAACTTTTAAAAAATTAATTAATTAATTAATTAATTTTTGGCTGACTTGGGTCTTCATTGCTGCACGTGGGCTTCTTATTGCTGTGGCTTCTCTTGTTGCAGAGCATGGGCTCTAGGCACATGGGCTCCAGTAGTTGTGGCATGCGGGCTCAGTAGTTGTGGTGCATGGGCTTAGTTGCTCCATGGCATGTGGGACCTTCCCGGACCAGGGCTTGAACCCATGTCCCCTGCACTGGCAGGCAGATTCTTAACCACTGTGCCACCAGGGAAGTCCCGAGAGAAACTTTTTTTTTTTTTTTTTTTTTCCGGTACGCGGGCCTCTCACTGTTGTGGCCCCTCCCGCCGCGGAGCACAGGCTCAGGACGCGCAGGCTCAGCGGCCATGGCTCATGGGCCCAGCCGCTCCGCGGCACGTGGGATCCTCCCGGACCGGGGCACGAACCCGCGTCCCCTGCATCGGCAGGCGGACTCTCAACCACTGTGCCACCAGGGAAGCCCCGAGAGAAACTTTTTTTAATAGAGAATTTTCCAGCCATTAATTTCATTTTTTCTTGTGACTTGGAAAAACACTTCCATTTTCTCAGTACTGTTGGAGAAGCCACTGCCTTGTGGAGGGGTCATGTATTGGGTACCTATTGCTGTGTAACAAGTTACTTCAAAACGTAGTGGCTTAAAACAACAAACATTTATAATCTCACAGTTTCTGTGAGATAAATCCGGGTGTAGGTGAGCTGGCACCTCTGGGTCGGCGTCTTGGTGAGGTTGCAGTAAGGCTGTTGGCTGGGGCTGCAGTCATCTTGACTGGGGCTGGAGCATCTGCCGCCAGGCTCACTTATGTGGCAGGTGATTGGCCACAGCGCCTCCACTCGGGAGCCTTTCCACAGGTCATCTGGGTGCCCTCACCACTTGGCAGCTGGCGCCAGAGAGCACCCGGGTTGGAAGCCACAGCCTTTTTGTAACCTAAACTTGGAAGTGACAGCCCATCGCTTTTGCCGTATGCCATTCATTAGAAGTGAGTCACTAGGTCCAGCCACACTCAAGGGGAGAGGATTACATTGGGGCACGGATACCAGGAAGTGGGGATCACTGGGGTCATCTTAGAGGCCCCCTTACCACACCTCACTAACTCTGGGGAGTAACCCCTTCACATGGCACACTTCTGGATTTCTAGTCTGGAGAACTGTCACATAATTTCCTGTATCAGGGAATTGGGCGGGGCGGGTGTGTGTGTGTGTGTGTGTGTGTGTGTGTGTGTGTGCGCGCGCGCGCGCGCGCGCGTGCATCCTTTGCCTCTGTTTCCAAGCTGCTTCCCAGAGCTCCACCCTTCCTCTTTGTCCCCTTCCCTCATCTGGCCTCAGTGGTGCCTCCTGGGTCTCAGATCTCCCCCACCCTCAGGAAGGTGTCTCTGGAGGGGAACCCGCTGCCGGAGCAGTCCTATCACAAGCTCATGGCAGTGGACAGCACGTGAGACTCCTTTCCCTCACCCCCTTTCTCTGGGCCTGCCCCCCATTCCAAGTCACCCTTTGTTCCCACGCTTCCTTGCCCCTCCAGCACCTCTCCAAGCACCCTCAATTCCTGCCTCTCCACCCTCAGACCGAATGGCCCTCCTCATGCCCCCGTTTTCCGAGGTTCCGGGGAACGCCCAGAACCCCGTGTTTCCTGTGACCCGCGTTCTCCCTCCTGCTGCCCAGGATCGCGCACTTGTCTCTGCGGAACAACAACATCGACGACCACGGGGCGCAGCTCCTAGGCCAGGCTCTGTCCACGCTGCACAGCTGCAACCGGACCCTGGTCTCCCTCAACCTGGGCTTCAACCGCATCGGTGACGAGGGCGCGGGCTACATCGCGGACGTGCGTGCGAGGCCGGCAGGGGCCCCCCCGCGCGAGCTGTGGCGGCCCGGGGCCAGCCAGCTCACTGCCCCTCCCTGACCCCGCAGGGCCTCCGGCTCAACCGCTCCCTGCTCTGGCTGTCCCTGGCCCACAACCGCATCCAGGACAAGGGCGCCCTGAAGCTGGCCGAGGTGGGTGTGCGGGCTGAGCGGGGCCGGGGAGAGACCCCCACATCCTCCCGCTCCCCGGGCGGCTGAACGCGAGGTGCCGCCCCGCCCCAGGTCCTGCGCCCCTTCGAGCTGACGCACACCGAGGTGGTGGAGCGCCGGCGCCTCCTGCTGGAGAAAGGTTCGCAGGAGCGCTTGCGATCGGTGAGGAGCGCTCGGAGCCTGAGACCTGAGCCCTTGGAACCGCTGCCCAGGTCGGCTGCTTTCAGCCAGCTGGCCGAATCTTAACCCGTCCTCTCTCCCTGTGTCGTGACCGTTTTGCTCTCCGACCTCTGCACAGATACAACAAACGTTTGGGTTCTTATTGCAGAACCACTCCGCAGATGGTAGAGTGTATTGGTTAAGAGGACTAGATTTAGACCGCAGGGACTTGGAATCTGGCACTTCCACAAAACAGCTTGGTACCTTGGGCGTGTGACTTAACCTCTCGGGCCTCAGTTTCCTCATCTGTAAAATGGGCATAACTGTACCTAGCTCATAGGATTGTTGACAGGATTAAATGAGTTAATTCATCTAATACACCTGGAACAGTGCCTGGCACTTAGTTAAAAATATGTCAGCTACTGTTTTCTCCCTCAGTATGAGTCTGAATGCCACCTCCCCCCACCCCCAGCTCATCCCTGGGTCCCTCTGCCGTTTCTTCCCAAGAGCACCTGCACCAGAAGGGTCCCAAACAAATTATGTTAGCATTTAGGCAGGGAGATTGGGGTAGGGGTGCTGCCAGTCCGAGTGAGTGGCACTCCTCACTGGGGAAGGGGCGCCGGATTCTTCCTCCTCCACCCCCTCCCATTTGTGAGCACAGCCTTCCACCTCTCGACACGGGGACTCCAAAACAGAGCGTGAGAAGAGCCAGCTGATGGGGGTCAGCAGTTTTGCAATGGTGGAGAAAGACAAGATGCAGACAACGAAGACCCCTAAGGGTCTGGGCAAGAAAAAGGAGAAGTCCGGGGTAGGTGTGCTGTGGGCAGCAGAGCCCTGGGCGCTGCAGGAACAGGGTGGGGCGGAGGGAGGAAGGCCTTTGAAAGTCCACCTCTGGCCCCTCCCACACCCGTTCCCCATCTGCCAGGGAGGTAGGACTCTCCTCTCTCTTCTTACATCCCCCACAGGAAGTGGTGAAGAAAGAGGAGAAGTCAGGGTCTGGGCAGTCACCCACACAAGGAACCCCTAAGAAAGAAGACTCCACAAAGACAGGCAAGGGGAGTAAGTGCTAGCACCCCTCTGCGGTGCCCACTTGGTGTGGAGGAAGCAGGAGCACGGGGCGGGATGCGGGAGGCCTGCGCTGAGCTAGTCTTCTCACCTTGATGTCGGAAGCCCCAACCGGCCCCATCCACGGCACTCCACACCGTTTCTCCTGGGCTGGACCCCTGTGGCCCTGCCCTCGGAGAAGAAACCCGCCTACCTAGCTGGGGGTCCCCCCTTCAGCTCTATTTCTGTTGTACCCAAACCCAAAGTTTGAGGAGTCCCCTTCCTCGCCGCAGTCCATTCTCTCTGGGGAAACTGAGTCGTATCAGAGGTCTGCACTGTGCATTCTGGCTCCTCTTCCCACTCCAGAGGTAACCATCCCTGAGCAGAAACTAAGCAAGGGAAAAGGGACCAAGACTGGGAGCAAAGAGAAGCGCAGCATCCTCCTGGAGTCGGAGGTAGGCTGCAGGAGAAGCGGGGTGGGGGACACGTCCCTGGGGTCCAGTCCCCCAGCCTTCCTGGGATGGAGTCTCCGGCCCTGTACTGTGGCAGCAGCCACTTCAACTCACATTGTGTCCTCAGTCCTGGCCCCCTCCCTAATCCAACCTGGGCTTGCAGGGGGTAACAGAGCTCAGTGCCCCCTCCCCTTCTACCTTTACTTGCTTATTAGGAGCCCACACTTTTGATCCTCTGCCTCAACTCAGTCTGCTTCCCGAAAGGCCATTTGTTCCTCACCACCACACCCACGGTTGCTCGTACAGTTGCACAGGGAACGAAGCACATTCTCCTTTGCCCCTGCCAGCAGCTCCCCAGGAGGGCAGGGTGTTTTCCTAGTCGTGGTACTACCCCCACCCTGTGCACAGCTACTTGAGACCCTCTCTCCTTTGCCCCTGGAGCCTCCCTTTTCTATTTAAACTTGGACCAACTTGTTCCTTGCTTTGGAAACCTTCCTGGACTGCTGACTCCGTAGCTCCCACCCCTCCGCAGTGGAGTCAGCTAACCCTAACCCTAACCCGAGGGCTATCTGTCCTTACACAGGCATACCTTGTTGTATTGTGCTTTGCAGATTTTTTTTTTTTAATACAAACTGAAGGTTTGTGGCAACCCTGCGTCGAGCAAGTCCGCTGGTGCCATTTTTTTCCAAGAGCATTTGCTCACTTCGTGTCTCTGGGTCACACTTTGATAATTCTCTCAATATTTCAAGCTTTTTCATTATTATTATATTTGTTATGGTGATCTGTGATCAGTGATCTTTGATGTTACTACTAGGATTCCCCGAAGGCTCAGATGATGGTTAGCATTTTTTTTAGCAGTTAAGTATTTTAAAATTGAGGTATATACACTGTTTCTTTAGACATAATGCTATTGCACACTTAGACTGCAGTATAGTGTAAACATAACTTTTACACGTACTGGGAAACCAAAAGAATGTGACTCGCTTTATTGCGGCTGTCTGGAACCGAACCCACAATATCTCTGAGGGTATGCCTGTGTTCTGTCATCAAAAGACCTCCCCACCTTGGCAGGGAATGGCGCCTCCGCTTTTAGGAGTCTTCTCTGGCACCCAGGACAAGATCTTACAAAAGAGGAAAGTCGGGTGGAGAAGGCGGGCGAGGGTTGCCTCTCAGTGCCAGTTTTCTGTCCCTGCCCCAGGCTTGATCCAGGCTGCTGATTCTCCCCAGGACTGTTGCATTTTCCTCTCATCCTGCCTTTAGCGTCATCTCCCTCCAGTCCATCGCCCTCATTGCTCTCCCTGTTAGGAATTACTTAGTGAATGCCAACACGCTATTTCATGCCTTTGCACCTGCTGCCACTTCCCCCCTGATCTTCATCTGACAGGGACCACATACTATTCAGATGTCAGCTCACAGGCCACCTCCTCCAGGACCCCTGCCGAGACCCGCTAGCTGTGGCTCCTCCGTGCCCCCAGAGTACTGAGCTTCCCTCTGTCAGCTCTGACAGCATACTGCATTGCTCTCTCACTCTCTGGCTCCCCTGCACACAGCTGCTTCTTGAGGGTATGGGCTTATTTATCTTTGTATCCCCAGCACCTGGGACAAAGCCTGGACTGTAGCCGGCCCTCAAAGCATGTATGTTGAATGAATGAATGAATGGCCTGTTGACCAGCTCCCCTCTCCTCTGCTGCAATCAGTATTCTGCCTGAGCAGGTGGTTGGGGAAGCTACTGAGATGGTCAGCCCTCTCCTGGGGCCCGTGGAGCACCGAGATGGGAAAGTTTTCATGCCTGGGAACAGGGTCCTTTTGCATCTCAACCTTCTCCGTACGTTTGGCAACCCCCCCACGCCCCACCTTCCTGCCACGAGGCTAGCTGGGCCCCATGCTGTCACAAGGGTGCCCCCGCCCTGGCTCCACGGAGTGGAACCTGGTTCTCCAGTGGTTGGGCATCATGATGGTGAAGGCCCTCTGGCACGGGGCTTTGGGGTGGGGGTGAGGGAGGTCAGACAAAGGAGGCGTCAGAGAAGTAGAGCTGGAGTGAAATTAGTCCTAGGTAAGCGAGCTGGGGAGCTGGGGGAGCAGGGGGTTAGTTTTGGAGTAAGAGGGTTCGCAGAGGGTGTCCCGTGAGGGTGTAGGCAAGAAGAGGTTGGCAGTGTCGGAGGCCACGTCGTCTGCTTCTTCCACCAGGAAACCGCATCACAGAGGTGGGGCTAGAGGCCTTCCTAACCGCAGTGCAGTACCAGGCACAGTTCTCTGAGTCCAAGAGCGCGTCCAAGGGCCCCGTGGGGCTGCTGTGGCTGTCCCTGGCGGTGAGTCCCCAGGGACTGCAGCTGCTGCAGGCAGCTTGTCTCCCTGTTTCCAAGACAGGCCTGTAGTTTCCCTTATTCTTTTGATCACAACACAGCCTTCCTCTCTTGCTGTGAGACGGGCGGTCGCACTCCTTTGTCTTTTGTCCATGTCCTCCAGCCCCCAACCCACCCTGTCCCAGGAAGTGGTTTTCTCCCAGACGGTTAACCTTCATTGCTTTTGTCAGCTATCAGCCTTGCTGTTCTCCCTTCAGAAAAACTGCTTCTCCCCGCAATGTCCTGCGTGCACCACGATCCAAGAGCTGATGCTGCCAAGGGACCCTGCCAGTAAAGCCAAGCACAAAGAGGCGGCGGCTGTGGCTTCCTCCACCTAGTCCCCTCCCACCTTCTTCCCAGAGATTCTGGGCCACGGAAGCATCTCCTTTCCATGTGCGGGTTGGACTTCCCACGGGAGAGCTCAGATCATTAACAAAGTCTATCGCTGTACTTTTTTCCTTGAGGTTGTCTGAAAACTTTGTCCCAGAACTACTGGGAATATTTGGACTTTGCGCCTGTTAACAGCGCGTTGACATGGCCAGAAATGGCCGAATGGCTTTATGGTTCTGCTGGGGGTGATCTCAGCCCCTCTGGCGGTGGCCGACCAGGGGTGTTGCTCTCCTGCCTCCTCAGGACCTAGTTCTTGCTTGCCCAGACCAGAGTCACGACCTGTACCAGCCGTCCCCGTTCCCTGGAGGACATGTGATACACGAGGGTTTGCACTGCCTCTGCTCTCAGAGGCAGAAGGGAAAGACTTGGGATAGTAACGTGAAGGCTGAGTGGAAGAGCGGGTGGGGCAGAGGGATGGAGCACGGGGCTCCACCCTTCCACCCTCCTGGGCCCCTTCCCCCTTCTGTTGCTCCATCTGGCCCACGTGTCTGGACTGGTTTGGAGGAGGGGCAAGGGCTCAGCTTACGAAAACGTAGAGTTGTCAGGCTGCTTTAGAGAGGGTGCTGAGTCTCTTGTCATCTACGTAGCAAAGTCCAAGCACTAAACACGAACCCTAACGACACTGCCTGCTGCTGTCAGCCGCCTGAAACCAGAGCCACCCAGACAGTGCGGGGGCCAGAGGAGTCAGGAGAGCTGGGGGCCGCGACTCTTCACCCTCAGCGCTGCCTCCACTGAGATGACCCGACCGTGCCCCAAGAGCACAGGGCCGGCTTCTGGGGAGCTGACATCCACTCTTCGGGGAGCGTCCCTTCTTCACCTCTGGTCACATCCTCTCGGCCCCGACTCCGCTTTCTGTTGCCTGGACAGAGCCCTGCTGTCCCTGCCAGCGCTGCCTCTCTGCGGGGCTCCGTGGCCCTCAACGGTCCTCCTCTCTCTGCCTCTGACCACCTGCGCTGCTGCTCAGCCTCTTGGCGGCTGGCTGAGCTTCTGCAGGGAGCAGCTCTTTGAATTCCCAACACTGAGCACATAGCAGGCGCTCTCCAGTAACGTCTAGCCTCTCCAGTTACCCCTGCCCGAGGCCTTCTAAAGCTCCAGTGGATCCGTACAGTTCTTGTCTGCACCCCTACACTTTATCAAGAACGAACCGTGTATTAATTCTGATGCCCAACTAGACTGTAAGCTCCCAAGGTCAGCACTCAGCATCATGTTGGGTTTAGGAGGGAAAACGTCAGTTGGGGGAAAGAGAATGTGTCCCTTAGTCCAACGACGACAGCAGAGGCAGTTTGAGTGGTTACAGTCCTGGGGGTGTGGCCACGTCTGATGAGCTGCTTCCAGGGGGTGCCTGTGGGAGGACACGGAGGACGGATGACAGCAGCTGGCCAGGCCTCTGAGATGACCCTCCCCTGTGTATTGCCTTTAAAGTCCTGAAGCTCACTGAGGGCAGCTCACGAGGGCTCTTGATACTGGGGCCACTGCGTGCGTGCGTGCTTGTGTGTGTGTGTGTGTGTGTGTGTGTGTGTGTGCGCGCGCCTGCGCGTTGTCTTTTTGTGTTCTGGCCACAGGGGCTGTATCGCTTAGTCTGAAGTTCAGTGAAGTGCACATCTGGAACTTCGGGAGAGAATACGGCAAGGCCTGGGTCTGGGGCTGCCTTCTGTTCCCTCTACTCAATTCCAATCAGTCTCAGAGGGAATATCACAATATCTCTGATCACAGCAGTTCCAAGAATCACACACACACCACCACAGTTGAAGAATATTTAACTTTTCTTAAAAAAAAAAACCATGAAAGGAAGAAAATAAAAGAGTATACATTATTTTAACAGCAAAACAGTCATTTCCATATCTGTATTTTATATATATTATATATATTTATATATATATATGTATATATACACCTAGCACAGTGTGTATATTCTATTAGTCTGTGGGGAGTGGAGTGGATGTGGTAATAGGGGCCAAAGCTGTGGTGGCCCCTGGGGATGGTCCTAGGTTAGTTTAGGGACTCCAGCATTCAAACCCCTACCCCCACCTCCCTGGGGCCCAGTTTTCAGCTCTGTACCTGATACACTGGTTTTCTATAGGGAGAGGGTGGGGCAGGGTGGACACAGGTGGGGTAAGAAGTTCCCCTGAAGATGAGAAGTCCTAGGAGGGAGGGAGTAGCTCAGCACCGAGCTGCAGAGGCTAGGCTCTCTGGCCAGGCGGGGCCGGAAGCTGGAGGCCTTCTTGCCTATGGGAGGTCGGGGGCGGAGCGCTCAGGGCTGGCTCCACCTTTGGGCCCTGATCCTGGAGCTGGGCTGCTGACAGAGATACAAGTGAACCTCCTCTTCCCTTAGCAGTCCCTCTGTAACTGCCTTCGGCACGCCAGGATCAGAAACAAAAAAGGTCAAAGTTATTTACAATAGCAAAGATGCACATACAATACATACATATTTATAGGAAACCAAAGTGACAAAGAGAGGAGAGGTGGAGACACCCACCCCAGCCTTGGGGTCCTGTGGAGAAGGGAGGGGAGGAAGAAAGTGCATTTACACTGGAGCCGCCTCCTTTCACCCGCACTGGCTTGTCTGAGGGCACCCACACATACAGGTGCGCACACATACGTGGGACGAGGGGGGCCTTTCAGATGCAGTCAGCATGCTTAGGAGACACAAGGCCTTGAAGGGTTGGGCTGAAGGGAGGGGAAAAGACACTGAAACTTGACTCCAATCCGAGCAGACCAAGCAACATGCGCATCTCCCCCCCGGTCTTGGCTGGAGCTGTCTCTTCAACCGCCTGCCTCCACGGCAGGGAGGAGGTTTGGGCTCTCCCCACCCTGAGCCCTGCCTCAGGCCAGTCCCTAGAGGAGGAGTCGGGACGCGGAGGATTCGGTGGTTTGGACAGCTACAGTCCTGGGGATGTGGCCGAGTCCGCCGGGCCATCTTCCAGCGGGGCGTTGTGGCCTGCAGGGATGTGGGGATGGCAGTGAGGTGCTGGCTGGCCTCTGAGATGACCCTCCCTCTGTGTTCCGCCTGCAAAGTCCTCAGGCTTGTGAGAGCAGCTCTTCAGTGCCATCCTTCCGTGACAAGGCATTCTCCTCCTCCAGAAACCCTGGAGTTCCCTGTGTGACCCGGAAAGGGCTGCGTACTGAACCCCACTTCTGTCGGCCCCCAAAGCCCACGGGTAGGTATGGGTCTGTCTTCCTAAGCTGGAACACAGCCATGGCCCTGGCCCATGCAATCTGCTTCTGAACCACTTATTAAGAACAGGTTTCAGATGTGAGACGAGGCTCCCCCTGGTTTGTTATCTCCATAACCCAAGGGAAAAGAGGGTTCAGTTATAAGTTTCCCAGTTTTAGGGGAGATTCCGTGGGCCTTCCCTAAAATGACCTCTTTCTGAAGCTGAGGGAACGAATGAATGAACTGTACTCAGGGGGAGACGAGGCCCCTTCTCAGAACTCCTGCGTCCTCACACTGCATGGCAGTGCTTCCTCAGGAGACGGAGGCCTTCTCCCTGCACACCCCACCCCAACCCCGGAGGACTTCACTCACCGTCCTCAGGGCAGGGCCCCAGTTCACAGCTGTCCCTGGAGTCAGAGGCCAGGTGCTCCTTGGCTGGAGGGGACAGGGAGCTGTCTATCCATCTAGCTGCCTCTGTGTGGAAACCGCCCACAGGCGTGGTGCCACCAGATGACTCTCCCCCGAGGGACCTGAGCAGCTCTTTGTGGGCCAGCTCCATGTCCTGGAAGAGTTATAGAGGGACATCTGCTCTCAAGCCCCTCTGTTCATGAGCCCCTGGGGAAGGGGCAATGCCCTCTTATCCGTGGGGTCCAGGGGATGGGGTTGTGCTTGAGGGCGGCTGGGTGGGCTGAGGGTAGAGCCCCAGGCCAGGATCTAGGGCTCCCATGGAGACACACTGTGTAGCTCACTCGTGTGGGTGATGGGTCTCGGCGCAATGGACTGAGGCCTCCAGGGTCCCAAGCCCTTACCTTGAGCCTGTTGAGCTTGACGGTGAGCTGCTCGATGGTATGGAAGATCACGCCCATGTCCCTGAGGGCCAGGCTGGGGGGAGAGCGGCCCAGGCGCCTTTGATCTTCATTGCCTTCCCGCAGCGCGGGCCGAGGCGCCGGCTGCCAGGCAGGGAGGCCATCGGGCTGGGAGGGCCCCACGCGTGCCCCTGAGGGGTCAGTGCTTGAGTCCAGGGGTCCTGCCGGCATGCTCACGTAAAAGCAGTTTCCTGTCCCCAGCAAGACAAAGCGATTAGGAGGCAAACAGAGAGGAAGTCTAAACCATCTTCCGCTCCCCTGGTGTTCCCCAGGCCGGCTGACAGGGCCAGGGAAGCCATCCGGCAGACGAGCTCGGAGTAGGCTGGCCTCGTGCTGCCTACCAGTCTCCCAAAAGCCCCTCTTTGCCAGAGAGCCTTTGAGATGGCGACTTTGCTCAGCTTGGCCCAGAGCAGGGGAGATGCTTAGTGGTGGAAGCTAAGGGAGAAGGGGCAGGGTGGTTGTGTTTCTTCTGGGAAAGGGGAGCGGCTCCCATTCCCTGAAGGAAGGGTAAAGAGGGCGTGGGCTGGTTTTAGGCACTAGCCTCCTTCCCTCTGCCCCATCTCAGGCTCTGCTGCTGAACTTCGACACGGTGCCCTGCCCCAACTGCCATCTATTTCACGATCCTCGAGGTACCTCAACGCATCAGAGGGGGTCGGGGACACACAGAGAAGGACGTAAGGCTGACTGACAGGGCAGTAAGCACTGGTAAGTGCCCAGGAGCCCGGAAGGCCACGTAAGCCCTTTTCCACGGTGACACTGGATGGCGGCTAGTGTCGGGGAGAGGTGGCTCAGAATGTCGGGCTAAGGACACTGGGCCCTGGGCACTGGGCCAGGCTTCCCCGCCCCCTTTCGTGGCTAAGCAGAGCTGCTTAACCCTACTGCTCTGAGCCGCTCTCGGAGAGGGGCTGGCACAGGGTCCATTCTTCCGTCTTCAGGCCCACGTCCTACTCCTCACCCATTCCAGACAGTTCAGGGAGTATGTACGGAGGTGTGTGGCCACGTGACTGCAGGCAAGGGTCTAACACCTGAAGCCCAGTTCTGCCCCCGTGGGCCTGCATTCTAGCCCTGGCCTGTCTCTGGCTCCAAGGAGAAGTTCATTACCCGTAGCCTTTGCTCCGCCTTCCACTTCGGGTGGCTCAGGCTCTGACTGGCCACTCTCTGGTAGCGCAGGGACAACTTTGCTGCCTGCCACCTCAGCTGCACCGACACCACCACCAGGGACAGTAGAGACTGAGAGAGAAGGAGAGGGAAGGGAGAGACAGTAGGAAGGAGAGGGAGAAGGAAGGGGGGAGGGAGCGGGGGTGGAGAAAAGGGGAAGAACAAAGTGAACGCAAGATCACACATGATTATACCCCAGGGAGCTGAAGACAGCCGCTCCACCAATTCACCAGAGGAGAGAGCAGGGAGGTCAGGTCCCAGAAACCCAGGAGAGAGCACACACCTTGGGCAGATGGAAAGAAAAATGCTCCTGGAAAAGGAGGCAGAGCTGGGCACTAGGGGAGGAAAGGAGACCCCCTAGCACTAACGTGGACCCCCCCCCCCCCCCGCTCAACCCCTCGAAAGCATCCCGCGCTTCGGTTCATCTTTCCTGCTGTGCTCCTCACATCAGGCTGCCCTCTCTTCAGCTTACTCTTCCCTCCCTCCCCCGAGCTCTGGCCAGACAAGCCTGCCCTGAGTCCCCATCCCAGCCAGTCTGGGCTTTTCGTGTCTTACAGCCCACGGCATTCCACAAGCCGGGCGCTCATTCAACACAGCCCCACACTCCCCATGCGTCTCCCCAGCCTTGTCCTCAGCCCCTAGTCTTGGCTCCACCTCTAGTCCCGCTGCCACCTCCATCCTACACGCCAATTCCTTCGCTGCTATCTGGAGTCACCGGCTGCAAGAACCTGCCCTTGTCTTTCTGGGAACGAAGCTCCTGAGAAGAGCCCCACTTTTCCTTAGAACTGGAAGAGCAGTGAAAAGCGCTAGCAGAAACTTTTATTGACAGTTGATTTGTGCCAAGCAGTAGTAATACCCTTATATTGTAGAATGAAGTCCAGAGGTGATTCAGATTTTTGCCTAAGGTCACACGGGTACTAAGTGACGGAGCTAGGACTCTGCACCTAAGCTGCACGACCCCAAAGCCTTTGCGTGATAGCAACATGTCTCCTTCCCCCAGGATCTGGACGAGCCTCTGCACACATGGTTTGCAGGACAGAGGCGGGGAAGGAAGTAGCCATCTGGAAGACTCAGCGCTACCCTAGCAAAATTGGGCGTGTGTCTCCCCAGTGGACACCCCAATTTCTTTTACCTTTTCTCACCACTTTGTAACTTCCTGTTGCCTCTGTGCTCGAAGCTTCTTCCTCTGGATTCCTGTCCAGCTCAGGAGATTCCCAGATCCCAGAATTTCTGGTCCTTGGGGGCAGGTGTTCCAGAGAACAGAGAGCCATGTCCTCCTGCTGGCCCCGCTCTGGCCCTGAGAGCGGGGCATTGTCCCCTTCACCCCCAGTGGGAGCTCGCCCTGGGGAGCCTGGGTCCCAGGGGTGAGAAGTGATGCTGATGACGGAAGGTGTAGGTGTCAGGTCGTCCTCGGGCTCCCCAGAAGTCTGTGGGTCCGTGGGGCGAGCTGGCAGCAGGCTCCACAGGATCAGGTGCCGCAGGTTCTCCACTGGAGGGGAAACAGGGCGATGGCTTCCTGGAAACAGTACTACACACCTCGCCAGTCGGGGGAGGGTGCAGAGGTGGCAGGAGGGCCACTGCTCCCCTCTCCCACAGCCTTCTTGGTGAAACTGCTTCAGTCACAGGGTGGAGCTGTGGGACTCTGGCCAACCAGCTGGGTGGGTGGGTGGGGGGACAGGAATGACAATTGTCTCTCTGCATCCATCTCTCCTCAAACACAACAGGGAGAGCCTTTGAGCAGGTAAGAGAGTGGGGTGTCTGCCATGGTGTTCACAATGGCCATGCTACTGGGGCACCAGGGGGCTGACGGTTGGGGCCATGAGGCACTCACCGTCCTCCAGGGCTGCATCGGCGAGTCCTTCCATGAACAGAGGGCCTGGGAGGGGCAGGAGGATGGGGTCCCTTGTCCTGCTGCCCCTGTTCTCTCCATCCAGGGAGGCAGAAGGGTGAGGCAGGGTACCCAGCTCCTCTTCTTCTATGCTGCCCTCCTGCTTGGGGTCCTCTAGCAGGACCGGGTGCTTCCCTTTGACCCTCTGCTGGGGCCCAGTGCCTGTTTTGGATGGGAGGACAGTGTAAGACAGGGAAAGAGGGAAGGCACGTATGGGTTGATCCCAGGCCCAGCTTTGGGTTCAAGGGGCTGGGAACATTGCCTGATTCCACAATGTTTACTGAGTACCTACTATGGCCAGGCACTGTCCCAGGCTCTTGGCATACATCAGTAAATAAAACAGAGATCCCTGCCCTACGGAACTTAAATTCTAGTGGACGGACATAGAGAAAAATAAAATAAGTAAATTGTCTACATAAATAGAGAAGTGCTACAGGAAAGAAGAAAACATAGCGCAGGGTGTGGGAGGTCAGGAATGCTGGTATTAAACCGAGTGGTCAGAGAAGGTCTATTGGTGCAAAGCTGACACCTGCACAAAGACTTGAAGGGTGTGCGGGAGTTAGAAGCATTCTAAGCAGAAGGAAACAGAAAAGGGACCCAGCCAGGGAGCCCACCGGGGAGACTTCTCTCTAAACATGAGACCCTAAGTTATTTCACATAAAAACTCAACGAGAATTCTGTCTGAGACCCTCCTGCCCCTGCCAACCCCATCCCGGTGACTGTACCTTCAGCCCTTTGGGCTCCCTATCCCTGCCCCCACACGGCTCCTGTGCCTGCAGGTCTGAGTGCATTCTGCTCTCCGTTAGGCACCCCCGGACCTGACCGCCCCTCTCTTCCTCCCCTGCTCGATACCTGGCACCCAGAGAGCCCAGGTTGAGAGCTCTGTTCAAGTGAGCTGGCCCACATTCGCTTCAGCCTGTTCTCTTTCCTCTTCCAGACTCTTTCTTCCTCACTGTTTCTTCTCTACCCTTATCAAAACCTCACACCTCTGGCCCCGACAGCCCTCTCCCATCACCCCCACAGGCACACCTGACCACCTCCCTACTGTGCCTACAGAAAATGGAATGGGTTGGGCTCCCAAAAAGACAGCTCAGGGGACTTACCTCCAGGTACTGTCTCAGGCTCTGGCTCACTATGGAACACCTCGGAGTCATCCAGTCCTTCCCTGAGGGAAGAAACAGCCCAGGGTGAGAGAGGATCGCCTGCTGGGAAGTCTGGCTCTCTGCCAGCCAGGAGGAGGTGGCCGTGTCGTGAAATTCCACTCGGGCCTCCTGAGTTGGGATGGGCAATGAAGGAGCAGGGCCCAAGGAGGGAGGGGTTTAGACTCCGGCACCTGCCGTCTGGCTGGCAACCCGGAGGGGAGGGTGGGTGTCGGCCAAGCTTCTCCTGATCACGATTTTATACCCCCCACCCCACTTCAGGCACAGTCTCTACTACAGCCGAGTGGGGGGCTGCAGGGGGAGAGCAGACGGCGACGGAAGGCAGAGATGTGAGGGTGCCTTCCGCCACCTGCACGCTGACGTCTGCCGCTGAGGCTGCCCATCCCCAGGGGTGAAGGGCTTAGAAGCAGCAAACGAGTGGCCTGGAGTGGGGATGGTGAGGGGGCCTGGAGGGCTAAGCACCTGCTGGGTGTGGGGCTCTGGTGGGCTGGCTCCTGGGGGCCTGAGGGCGGTGGGTGGACGGGCTTTGGGGCGGCTCCAGGGTGCCTGGTGGCGTTCCGCACGGCCTCTTCTAAGAGCTCCATCCATCTGTTGTTCAGCAGGATCAGAGAGGACTGGTGGTGAGAACAGGACCGAGGCACACAGCCTCTCCCCTTACTGACCCCCTGCGTCAGAGCTGCGAAGCCCTTCGCCAGGCCCTGCTCTGAGGACCCCCTCTGCCCAGCGGGGTCCCCTTCCTTGCAGATCTGACTGGCTGCTCACATTGGGTTACATTACTCGCGCCTACCAATTACTGAACACCAACCCTCTGTTACTCGTTGTGCTAAGCATTGTATATCTATCTCTCTCTTTTCTTAATTAATTAATTAATTTTTGGCTGCGTTGGGTCTTCGTTGCTGTGCATGGGTTTTCTCTGGTTGCGGCGAGCGGGGGCTACTCTTCGTTGCGGTGCGCGGGCTTCTCATTGTGGCGGCTTTTCTTGTTGCGGAGCACGGGCTCTAGGCACGCGGGCTGAGTAGTTGTGGCTCGCGGGCCCTAGAGCGCAGGCTCCGTAGTTGTGGCTCGCGGGCTTAGTTGCTCTGCGGCATGTGGGATCTTCCCGGACCAGGGCTCGAACCTGTGTCCCCCGCATTGGCAGGCGGATTCTTAACCACCGCGCCACCAGGGAAGTCCCTCTATATCTCTTCTTTCTCTCAAAATAACTCTCAAGAGGTAGCATTATCCACATTTCGCAGATGAAAACCCGGAGTCTGAGAAACTGCCTGACTCAACCTATCTCCTCCCACCGTGCCACGCTGCCTCTGGCTGGCCACTGTTGGGAATACGGGTGACTGAATGCCCCGGGTGGGGATGAGGGTCCCGGAGGCAAAGGCCTTCGGAGAATGTGGGCATTTGCAACGCTTGATGGGGGAAGGGAAGAAAAACCCCAGGGGAAAGAATTGGGGCCAGAGAAAGGAAAGCAGCCTCAGAAAGGCTGGAAGACTGCTGGGGACTCCTCCTCCCTAGGGCAGGCCTGCTCATGGGGTCAGGGGAGGTGACCCTGTAAACCTCTCTACTCCTGTCTTATCTCCCACTTCCCCTCAAGGCCCCGACCTGTGAATGCTCTGGGGCGCAGCCTTATCTGGCCTCCCTGTCCACATCCTCATACACCACCCTGGTCCCAAGGGGACGGCAGTTACATGGGACCCCCCCGCCCCCGCAATCAGGCAATCCTCACGTGTTCTTGTCTGATGACGTCAATGCCACCAGCTCGTAGATCTGGGGTGGGCCCAGCTCGGAGGTACAGATAATGAAGAAGGCCCGTTTATCTGTGTGAGAGAGAGAAGGCAGAAGGGTCTGCATTGGCGGCGGCAGAGGCACGACTGCAGCCTGAGCCGAGGCGGCAGAGTGCGGACTTGGAGCCCTCACCCTCGGCCGGCTAAGAGTGCAGCGCCAGACGGACCTGGGTCCTCAGAAGCACTTGGGGCTCGCTCACAGAGGACAGAGGCAATTCTGGGTCCCCTAAGGCCATCTTCACAGCCACCCCCATTACCTCTCGCTTTCCGAACAGCGAAGGCTGAGGGGTGTACGGTGCTCAGGGTTTATAAAACTGCATCACACCCATCCTCCCTTTACACCCCGCTCCAAGAGACAGACCTCACCCCCCGTGTTACAGATGAAGGAAGCAATGAGCCCAGAGAATCTGGCTGCCTGGCTCTTGCTCCAGAGCCCTTTTTGTACACATTCTGCTTCTCACTGAAATGCTCTGAGCACTGGACCAGGCTCTGGACTGTGGGCGCGTCCGTCTTCTGCAAGCGAGCTCTGCCCGTCACTTTTGCAGCAGGAAGGCCTGTCCTGCTCTTCTCTGCCCAATTCTGCTACCTCATCCTCAGTGCCCACATCCCATCCTGCCTGAACCACGCTGTCCTCCCTCATCTTGGTCCCCCTCCTACCCATCACCCTACCCCACGTTGGACCACGTCCTCCTGCTTCAGTGAGTCAGGGCTGGGAGGAAAGGAACACAGGTGGGCTGATAAGTTCTGTACGGCCCCAGATCGGCCCCGCACCACCCAGTGCTCGCTGGACACGAGTAACAGGGCTCACGGCCCCGGGGTGTGGGCCGCACGGGTACCTGTGGCCACGGAGCGGATGAGCACGGCATTGAGCTTGAGCACCGGGCTGAAGGTCTGCTTGCTGTCCGAGGAGCCCACGGCTGTCTTGCTGTGGCACTTCAGCAGCAGCTTCTCATCCTGTTTCTGCAGCAGCACGAGGAGGTCCTCCAGCAGCAGCACATGGAGGTCTGGAGGGGTGCGGTGCTTGTGAGGCGGTGTTCTCTGTGGCCCACTCATCCCCCATTAACACATGGGGTACCAGAGGCTCTTGGACAGTCATCTCCAGGATCTAGGAAGCCCTGGAGTCTGGTGACCTCTGACTGCTTTGTTTTTGGTCCTTCCTCCCCATGCTGTGCTTAAGGAGCCCTGAGCTCTCATCCCCAGTCGTGTTTCAAGCTGCCTCCTTACCATCCCTTTAGAGCACCGGGTACAGGGCTTATGATCCAGAGAGGGAAGAGCCCAGGGGCAGTGCCCTAGATTCCCTCTTGGCCCCAGTCCCCTGGCACTTACCCAAGGTCTTATCTTTGCTGATCCTCCAGGTCAGGGGCCCCTCATGGATCATCTTTCTGGTTGTAAGATCCAGACTCTGTTAAGGAGACACCATATATTCAACAAGTATCTGAAAACCTAGACATTGTGCTAAGGTGCTGGGCATCAGTGGTGAACAAGAGTAGTCCTTGCCCTCACACTCCTGTGAGGGATGCAGACAAGTAAAAAGGCAACTACAGAGTCACGTGCCACGTGCTGTGCTGGGGGATATGCCGATGGTTCTGGCAGGGGTCTCTCTCCCCGCTACTACGTGCTGTGTACTCTCCTAGGATCACTCTGCTTCACCTGCCCTTTCCCTCAGCTTTATGTTCTCCCGAATGACCTTCACCTTTACCTTGAGTTTACTCCCATCCCCCGCTCTCCCAGACTGAGTTCGAACATCTGGCCTTTATGGTAGGGCTGTCTGCCCCTGTCTATCTCGGGATGGGGTGACAATGGTAACCGGGGCTGTGTGTATTCCAGGGCCCCCATCGCGCCATCCTATCACAGACAGGCCCAGGTCTCCTCCCCTCCACCTTCTCCAGGTCCTGACTGGAGCTCTGCTCCTAAGGGTGCCCAAGAGGTACGTGCGCCATGTGGGGCTGACGACGCTGCAGCCTCAGCCTCCTACCTTGAACTCCGCTGCCAGGGGGTTGCTGGCCCTCTCCAGGGAGGTGGTATCCAGACGTTTCTGGTAGCCCTCTAGACGGTGCCGGTTCTCTGTCTGCTTCACTGCTTCATTCACGTACTTGAGAATTTCCCGGCACTGATCCCGGGCCCGGCAGAGTTTCTCATGCTCAGAGGTGCCACCTACCCACGGGGCAGAGAGGAGGTGGTGAGGGCTCCCGCCTGAGAAGTCTGTCAGAGCCTGAGAGTGCCTGGCTACCAACAGCCGCTGGCCAGTCGCCAACCAGCAGGGATGGGTGTAGATGCGCCACCCTTGCCTAACTTGGACCTCAATCGTAAGGACAACTTACACTGAGGGTCCTTGTGTTTCAGACCAAGGCTCTGAAGACACCGATAGCTCTTGGGAATTCCTGCCACAGCCACTCTACAGGTGTGGAGGACAGGAACGGGGACAGGGACTGTGGGTGATGACAGTGATGGGGTGTGTCTCCCTCTAGGAACACCTGCTCAAATCAGGTTGTGGTTCTTCCCACTTCTACACACTGACGCCAGCATCCCACACTTGAGGGTGGTGAAAGCTGCTCAGGATCCCAGGGACAGTGACAACCTGGGGTTAGACCCCCCTATTCAGCATGGTCCCCTACTCCTGTGGAGTAAGCACGCATGGCTGTATCTTTTGTGCATCGCACAGAGACGTCCAGCAGGGGGATCAACAGGGCTAAAATCCGGCCACAGCCTCTGGCGTGGGACCACGATCCTCAGAGGAGCCAAGGTGCCCTCTGTGCGCTAACCTGTGTCACTCAGATGCTTCCCTCTGATCTGCACAGACGCCCCACACAGGCCAGAGGCAGCCCTTACCTCCTCCTGCTGCTCAGCACCTTAGTTTTGCCAAAGCACATTGACAATCGTTACCTTCTTTGAGAGTGACCATAACAACACAAGGACGAAGACCCTGAAGACCAGAGAGGTCAAGTGACTTGCTAAGGACACAAAGCAAGTCAGTGCTAGAACCAGGGTCTGAGCTGCGGGCTGCTGCCTCCCAATGCCAGCCTTCTGTGAGCCCTACCCTCCGTGTGCTTGATGATGTTCTCCAGCAGCAGTGGGTACTTGGTGAGCCGCTGCATCTCAGAGATGATGAGGTCTCTAAGCTGCAGCCGCCGGCACTGGGGGTGGCTCTCAGCCTCCTAGACACAAGGAGGAACAGAGGAAGACGACAGCCTGGATTACGAGCTGGCTGTGAGCTCAGGACACGAGGATTGTGCGAATGCCGAATAGGGCCTAATCCCAGAGGATCGCTCAGAAACGGAGGTGGCAGCTTCTTGCTTAAATATTTAGGGAAAGGTTGGTGGGGGCAGGAAGACAGTAGCCCAAGAAGGGGATATGGTCAAATAAGCCACGTAAAGCAGGTATTATTCCCACTTTATAGACAAGGAAACTGAGATCCATCTAAGTAAATACAGGCACTGGTAGGTGAGCGGGGCCTTCTGATGGTCAGTCCAGTGTCTCCGTCTTGAGAGCGAGTATGTGTCAGTGTTTCTGAAGAGGGGGTGTTGGGGAGGGTGTGGATGGAGCAGCAAGTTGCCGTTTACCCTCCCCTGTAGAGAGAAGAGGCCAAGCGCCTGGAGCTGGGGGCCAGGAGCGGAGTCCAGGAGATTGTGGGTGAACCCGGTTAACTGTCCCCCTCTGCCTTATTGGGTGAGCTATGACTGAACTGGCTGCTTTCGGTGGCGATGAGGCGAGGCCGAGCGTACCTGCATGAAGAGCTGGAACCGGCTCTCCTTGCGCTGCCTGGTCTTGATCAGCTCCAGGGCGATGGACTGATAGGAGCAGAACTGCGCGGCCACCTGCTGGAGCTCCTCCCGGGCGGGGCCATCGAACTGCGAGGCAGAAGGGACACCACATGGCCCCGGCCTCACACCCCTGCCTGGGACAGCTCCCCCCCACCTCCTCTGCCACCTCCTCCAGGCCTGGGCAGCCGTACCCGAGCCAGCATGAGGTCACTGACTTCTTTGATGATGGGGCCCTCCTCCCGGAGTTTCCTCATGGCTTCACACCAGGAATCTGGGGCAAGGAAAAAAGACAGAAGTGCCTGGGGTTGAGCCGCATGGCCAGGCCCTTCATGACGAGAGAAGAGGGATCTGACGGCAGGGCCGTGGGGCAGGGTCTCAAGTCATTTCACTTGTGGGGGGCTGGTATACCGATGTTCAGGCTGCACGTCAGGTTCTCTCACCAAAGAGGACTGTTGGGGGCTATCCGCTCGGGGGGTCCTGGCATGCGGGCAGAGCTGGGGCAGAAACCTGAAGGCTGGCCAGGGAAGGGGGCAGGCGGGGTGGGCTCCTCACTGTGGATCTCGATGAGCTCGGGCAGGTTGGGGAAGAGCCTCGCCAGCTCCTCCCGGGGCAGCAGGCCCTCCTTCTTCATCCGCTGGTAGAAGATCAGGTCCAGCACCCGGAGTGTGCGCAGATGGGAAGCCTCTGTCACAAACAGCTCTGAGCGGGGGCAGGGACAAGAAGGGGCAGAAAGACAAGAGGGAAAGCCCGTCAGCAAGGATCTCGTGACCTCCAAACCACCTTTGGTGCTGGTTTCAGATGGTGTGTCACCTTCTCTCTCCCCAGGGGCCGCTCTTGCCCCCAGGCCCCCCACTGTTTTCTCTACCACCATCTGCGCCTGAGGTGCCCTGCAGCTGTTCCCGCCTGAGTCTCACCGTTGATGACCTCCTGCCGGTCAACTTCCCTCTGGCTTAGCCCAGCCACCACGTCCTTGCCCACTGCATGCTGCCAGTTTTGGGCGTCGGGCTCTGGCTCCAGGTCAGACAGCTGGCCCAGATCATCTTCTAGGAGGTTGGGGAGGAGGGCATCTGTGCCGAACCCCAAGCTGGGGGACTCAATGCTCCTGGGGGAAAACAGGCAGCTCAGCGTCACACGGAGCAAAAACTCAAACACGGGGTTTGTCCCTCCGCCTCCTGCCCACCCTGCTTGCCCAGGGCCCATGGGAAGCCAGTGGGCCACGAAGAGGAGCTGCACCACCAGCTGGCCCCTGGAAGGGGAGCAGGGGCAGCTGAGCACGGCTGGGACACCAACACCTAACAGAGGCGCTACGGTACCCATCACTCACCTGCGGCCCATTTTGGGGGTGAAGGGAGGGGTTGGGTTCTCAAGAGACCTGTGGAGAGAATGTCAAATCTCAGCCACCCTCTGCTCCTGCCCGGCCCCCAAGATATCAGCGGGCTGAGCCCCTGAGCCCCACCCACCTGGTGGAGAGGCTGGAGGCAGAGGACGAGGCTGACTGGTGAAGGCGGGCGGCCTCTGCGGCCGCGTCCATGTCCACGTCGCTGCGAGAACGGGGCACGTTCTCTGCCTTCCGGGACCGCTTCATCTCCTCCCGGCCCTTCAGGCTCTCAGAGCGGCCCAGGCGAATCTCTGAGCGAGAACTGGATGGAGGGGGCAAAAGACCTTGGGGTCTTACATCTGGCCAGCTTTGACCTGCTGCCCCATCTCAGGGGTGCCTCAGCGCTTCCACCCCAAACACCAGACCCAAAGGGTCCCAACTCTACAAAATCCTTCCTTTCCCCAGCCCAGGTGGATGGAGAGAGCCTCTCAACTTCCTTGCGACTGGTCAGGAAGGGATCCCAACAGGAAGGTGAAATCTGGGGCTAACAGAATCAGACTTGTGGGGTGTCCGGATGCCAAAGACCCCAAGTCCCCGTCAGGAAAGCTGTGGACACCAAAGTCCCTCATCAGGGACAACAAGGTCCCACCTTCCCTGCCCCTGGCCATCTCGTGGCCAGCTCATCTGGCCCTCTGCTTTGGAACAGGTCGGCTCCCACCTTGGACCCTGCTTGAGGCGGATCTCTCCTTTTACGAGATCTTTTAAGAGGGAAGTAAAAGCACCATCTTCACACACTCTAGTATTCTCCACACTGCCTGTCAGAAAATTCTATCTGCTGTTGAATTCCCACCCCTCCAGTTGTGATGTGGATTGTGGATTTCTTCTGTTCTTATCCTGACAGCATCCTTCCTAGGCTTCCAGTCCCCTCTTGGGAGCAGACCAGCTTGGGAGGGTGCTTACAGGGGCCTGTTTACTGATGGGCAGGAACCTGCTCCCTGGCCTACCGTGCTTGGCCACTGAGTATCTGTGGGGCTTGATGAGATGCTGACGACTGGGTGTTGCTCTTTTTTGAGTCCTGCAGTGCATCAGCCCTGTGACAGCTGGCATCTCTGACCCCTGGCTGCCCCAGGATGGTGCCTCCCCCCATGGTCCTGCTGGGCTAGTTCTTTGCTGACATTATTACTAATCTACATCCTGCTCTGCCTCTAGGACAACAGAAGGCCTGGAGAGTCTGGAGAGCTCTTAATAGCACAGCAGGTTGCTGCAGAGAAGGAGCCAAATGCCTTGGTCTCCATTCATCAAGTCTCTCTGAACTGCCAGAGGATCCCAATGCCGCTCCCCCGCCCAGGTCCTGAGGGTTTGTCTGCAGGGTTAGAAACCATACTGCCAGCTGATGCCCTACTGAACTCACCCCCTGAAGTCTGACAGAACAACTCCAACACAGACTAACTCAAAACACTTTCACCAGTGCCCCACAATGGGTCACTTTAGCACCACAACAAACCTCCTGCAATGAGGCTCCTGGGGCTTCTTTCAAGTACTCAGAAGTGAGTAATGATCCCACCAAGAAGTGAGGCATACGACCCACCTCTGGCCAAAAATTCCTAGACTACTGCTGTCTACAATCGGGGGCTTCTTATACCCGTTTAGTTTCTACGACAACCTCTGACCCACCATGTGCCGCTGCCATTTCTTCTAAGATTGTCAGTGAACTCATAACCATCAAATCCAAAGGCTTCTGCTGAGAGGAGACGCAGAATCCCAGCGAATGTCTCAGGGCAAATTTACCTAACAACTTGAAGAATACGTTTACAAATGGTCTCAAATATTGCCTCAAAATGTTGATAGTATATCTTATAATTGTACATTTGATACATCTGTAAGATCACACCTACCCCAGCAATCATATAATTTGTATATTTAATTTACTCAGTAATATTAGAACTCAACCTCTGACCCCAGTACAAATCTAACCTTTATCTTGCCTAAATCTTTGTTAATTCTCACTATGGCAAAATCTTTTAATGAGTATTAAGCTTATAAAGGCTTAGTAGCAGCAGAAAGGAGTAACCCTGCATACAAGCAGGAACGTTTGACTTACAGTTTGATGATTAGTTATTTCAGGGGTAAAACAGTCTGACTAATCAGGCTGCTGCATGCTGGCTTGCCTTTGGGTCTGCCTTTAGTCCAGCTCAGCAGTGTACACAGGAACTAGTTTTGTGTACACAAGACCACATTTACTGTACCTCAAGTGTGCCTTAAGGAATTTGCAGGGATGTTTCTGACTTCAGGCAGTTCTCACTTGAAGCGCTGGCTACAGAATTTTAGACGTGACCTGATGGCTGTCGTGCCACAGTCAAGAGCAAGTCTAAGAGTACGTTTCACCAGCAGAGAAGGGCTCTTCTTAGAATCTGGCCAGAGGTGGAGAATGTGAGCGATGTCACAGCCTCCATTCCCCTTTTGCTTCTTGAAGGAAGAGCAGTTTGTTTTGAATCAATGACCTTTCTATTTCTTCGCTGAGATGTACATCTGAGGCCCAAGTTACACCGTCTGCCTTTAAACCAGCCAGCAGAACCTCATCTCTAACTCTCTTCTTCACCGACGCCCCAGGCTGTCTTTAGCCTGACTTCCTTATTGCCCAGGATTTCCCTTCGCCCCACTCTGTACTCTTCTCTAGCTTTGTCATTTAGGGTTTCCCGACTAGCTGCTTTATAACATAATCTAGCTCATTCTTGGGGTGGAGGCTACTGCGTGGCCAGGGGGTGAACCCAAAGGGAATTTTAAAGGCATATGGTTCTCGGACTGGAAGGTCAGGGGCCCTGCTCTCTCTCCCGCTGGCCTGATCACCAACACATAGGCGGGAAGGTTGGGGGAGAGGGAGAGAGCTCTACAGTGGGAGCCTTACAGTCTAGTGGGGGGTAAAGTAGCTGGCATTGAACCTTAGCCCCGAACCCTGCCCACGCTCCCCTCTCTGGGCGGCCAGCAGGCCCCAGCCAGCCGCTGCTACCTGTCGCTCTCCAGCAGGTCCTCGGGAAAGCTTCCTGTGGAGAGTCGCTGCGTCCCGGGCTCTGGGGCGTCGCACTGCTGGCTGTTCTCAAAGTGCTGAATGATGTTCCTCACGTTGCCTGGCTTGACTGGAAGCAGAAGAAAGATAATGAAAGATACTCTGCTCTCTGTTCAGGGATGACTTCTCGGGGCCCTCGCTCCCCTCTAGCCCAGAAGACAGCGATGAGCAAGCACGGATGAGAACAGCATGGGGCTGAGGGTCAGGAGACATGATAGGAGCCCTGGCTCTTCTACTGTGTGGCGTGGCACGGGCAGTCCCTCCACCTTTCTGGGGGCTACTCTTTCCTGGGATGCAAAATGAGAGGGTTTGAAAGTGCATTTGCTATGGATATTTCTTTTGGCTCTCACATTCTTTATCACAGTGGTTCTCATGCTTGAGAATCGTTACTAGGTTATTCCCAAGAGCCATATATGTGTTTTAAAAAAAAAGATATCCAGGAAGACCCAAAACACGTCAACCTTGGTATAATTTGGCCAGGTTGCCAACTTTACCAAGCACTTCTCAAATTTATACTACTTTTAGAGTTCACTATTTCTGGTTTTCCTTGACTCTCCTTTCTGTTCTTTCTGCCCTCACCCCCAGCTCTTCCTCCCCATCATTAAAGAATCAGACCCTCCATTACCAGTGAGGGGGGTCTTAGGAGGAACAGAGGAGAGATGTCACTCTCCGGCATTCAAATTCCAGATGCTTTTCAAAGCTAAGACAAAAGAGTGCTGTTCTCGTTCAAAGTAGAGAAGGCAGGTAAGAGAGTAAAAAAGGCATAGGTGATGCCATGTGGAGACCCTGGAGAAGAGAGCTCAGGCCCAGGGGCTCAGTGGCTCCTATCTTCAAAGTTGATTAGCTCAGCTCCAGGTCCAGGATGTCAGAACAGGAGTTGGGCTAAAGATGCTGCTCTGCCCGGACCAATAGGAAGGATAATGGGATGGGGAAGGCAAGACAAACAGCCCCGGGCGCCAGGCCCTGGTCCTAACCACACTAACCAGAGATTCTGACATCGACATATACAAACTTATAAATCTCCCTCTGTATCTAAACTTGAGATTCGTAAGAAAATTTCCAAGCCAGAGGAAACAGAAAAACATTTAGCTGGTCTCTTCAAAGCTCACAATTTCATATCCTTTAGGCAGGTCATGTTTTTCTAAAACTGCAAAATAGGTGGCTGTGTATATGTGTTAGGAGTAGGGACTGTTACCATCACCCCCATTTTGGAGATCTGAGTCAGATCTGCCTGTCCCAGACTGTGCATCTGGGCCTTGGGGCAACTGCAGCAGCCAGGGTCAGCTGTGCAGCCACAGCCCGGAGCATCCCTGGCTGGGTGATGACGTGGGAGCTGGGGAACGTCCTATAATAGAATGCCTCCGGGCAGAGCCTATTGCTCCCTCTCCCATGGGCCACTTGGAAAAGGCCCAGTTCTTGGGATATAGTTACACCCTAGCTGTGACAAGGAACAGGTGTGGCCCTGAGATTTGGTATAACTGAATAACCCAGAGTAACGGGAAAAAGACACGTAGAAAGGAACGCGTTTTTGAAAAGGGCAAAGTTTTCATCAGTAACCTTTGCTCTCCCTTCCTCCATTCTCTGAATAACAATGAAACTAAACAAAAGTGAATTATATGTCACTAACAATCAGATACGTTCACTGATAAACAGGGGCAATGGCTGATGCTCCGAAACAGCAAGGTTCTCAATGCTGAGGCTTTCTAGCTTTGGTGGGTGTTTGGTCTTTAGATACGCATACAGACTTGTCTGATGTCCTGGGAACTTGAGAACATCAAATCAAACCATGAAATGACAATAGAAAGATATGACTCAAAGAGATGGTGAATACCCAGCATACTTATCCTCTCTTGGGATCAGCAGCCCTACCCTGGGTGTTCCTGTTGCCTCTCAGGCTGACACAAAGCAAGCAGCTTGGGCAGGGCTGCTCGTCTCAGGCCTGCTGCTTGCCTCATGCCTGCCTCGGGCAGGGTGGATGGGAGGAAGTATGTGTTAAAAACTAAGGGCCTGGGTTTCAAGGCCATTCTTTTATTTTTTCCATTGTTTTATAGACTTTCCCCCCCTAATATTTCTTTACTTATATTGTTTAAAATAGCATAACAAGTCTAGGAATTTAACTTTAAAAATAATTTTGAAAATCATTATCTTTAATTGTCACTTTATATAAAGTGAATTCTAGCAACAGATTTCCTGATTGCCTCTCACTGCTATCTCTCCCCTTGATTTACTACAGAAACTAGAAAATATTAATCACTTTAATTGTATGCATATGGACCTCACTGATGGGAAATGAACCTGCCCAGTTCTAGGTTCTAAGCTCCTCTGGGTTAATGTCTGTTATATATGTATTTATTTTTGATACATAGATTCTAGAAGATATTAGGCCTCTAACATACATACGTTAGGGTCAGTCTCTCTCAGTGACGCTGTGCTGGCAAAGGTAAGAGTCGGGAGATGAAGGTGCTACAGTGAAGGACTTAAACAAAGGAGATGATAGAAATGAAAATACCCCAAGGCAAAACTGCTGAAGACCCATTAGGTACTAAAAACAACCCCATATAACACTCAAAACTGAGGATTTTATTATTATTTCAATTGAAAACAAAAATCTGAGGAACTTGTACAGGACATTGCAACATGCGAGGGTTCCCCTCATTTACATAGAGCCCTGGACTTTTGGAGCCGCATCCACGGAGAGCTGACAGAATGAGAGCAAGGCCGCAGGCCGTGCACCAGTCTTGGAGGGCCTAGAAGCTGGCCTCTGCCAGCACTGCCAGGAGGAGCTGCACGGTGCCGGGGGGCAGTGCCCCGGCCCCTCCCGCCCTGCCTTAGGTAGGCAGAGTCCTGTGCCCAGCGTGAGGGCAGGAGCCCCTGGGCAGGCACCCCTGGGCAGGCGTTTGTGTCATGGGGAGCTTTAGCAGCATGGAGGAACATACAAGAGTAATGGAGTGAGGAAAGGGAGGGAGGAAAGAGAGCCAGGACAGGAGGCGATGAAGGAGAGGGGAAGAAGGGCAGACAGGACTTGGGAAATGGAAACTCAATGCTAATGCAAAGAAAAACCCAAAGAAAATGGTCCTTTTACCTTCCACAGGGGACAAGGGAATATGAAATGCTAAAAGAAAACAAACAAAAACAAAAGTAAACCATGAAAAGTCAAATTAATGTTTCAAGAGTCAAAATAAAAATTACATCAAGCTGGAAAGTGAAAGGTAGTGGCAAAAATCAGGTCTGATCTAGTAGAGTCCCCTCCTCTCCCCTTCCCCCAAGGCAGCGGTTTCAGGAAAGGCAGGAGGCCCATGCCGTGGCCCTTCCCAGATCCCCAAGACTAACACTGGGGCCTTATGATAATGACTGGGAGGGCCAGCAGCAATGTCCAGACAGATGACACACAATTGGGAAGAGATCGGTGACAGGATCCATGGAGGTCTGGATTACTGATGGCATGAGGGGAGCCTCTGGGTCCCAAACCTGCTCCCTTTCCACCTAGTTCTGCTTAATTGAAACCCTCCATCAAGGGCCCATAACTGCTCCCAACACACAGGCCCTCAGGAGGACAGACAAGTCCATGGATGAAGGTGAAGGAGGCACTGACTGTCAACAGGGCAATCTTGCCAAGGGGGAAATACTCCTCTGCATGGCTGTTCAGTATCTACAACTGTCTCTGAGTTCCTAGACCCAGGGACTGGCTTGGCCTTCTTGGCTCTGAAGCAGTTCCCTGTACCTCAGGGGCCATCACTGGGTGTGGCAAGGGGAGAATGCAATAGCACCAAGAGGAAGCTGCGACCTCAGAGTTTGTTTGGGCCTTTGGCTGCCTGAAGCACAGGAAGGCCCTCTGCCAACATGCTGGCCTGTGAAGGGGCCGAGGTCCCTGTCCAAGGCTTTGCTCCCCAAATACTCACTGCTCTGGGAAGAGCTTTTGGGCTTCCCGATGTACTTGAGGATGGGGTTTCGCTTCTTGTCCTCCAAGGCATCCTTTTCTTTCTTGGAATTGCTGCTCTGCTGAGATAAGAGACACTAGGGTTTGGAGAAGGTCCCAGTACCCAGACTGGGCCACTGGTCACCGTGCTACTGCCTCTATGACTAGCCCTAAACAAGCAACAGGAAAGCAGACTCATGCTTGTATCTGATCTAGCACATCTGCTTCTGGTCTGGGACTGCAGGGAGGGAGAGGGCTGCTCTAGTTTGGGGATTCTCAATGACTCTCCCGGTCTGCCTCAGCGCAGGAACCGTGCCAAGAGATGATTCTTTCTAGGGGAGCTCTGTCACCTTCTTGGTCTTCGGGAAGAAGGGTAGCCATTTGTCCTTGTCAGGAGCGGACTGGGCCTTTTCAGCTGTGTTGGAAGGTCGTGCTTCTCGAAGACGGATGCCCGCATGGCTCATGTAGGTATTGAGGGCGAAGTCCATGGGGGCACTGTAAAACAGGAATGGGGGCGGTGAATCGGCAAGCACCAGCAGGTGGAAGGGCTGGGACTGCTTTACACAAGCTCCTCACCACCACCCAGTGGGGTGGCGAAGGGCCAGGGCATTCAGCGGGAGGCCCAGAATATTCAGATGGGACAGCAGGCAGAAGCCGGAGAAAAGTCTTGGCTGGCATGACTCCCAGAAGAAATCGTATTCTTCTCCTACGCAGAACGCTCCCTAACGAGGGGACAGTGGTCAGCGGAAGGACGTGTCAGTTCCCCAAAATATAAGCAACTAATAAGCCATGGGCGACAGTTGAGGCCCACAGCTAATGTCCTCAAGCGTACACACAGGGGTGGGGTGGCAAAGGGATGCGGAGAAACGCCAACCGGCCCCTGCAAGTCCAGGTAAGCTGCCTTTGCCACCACCCACCCCAAGTACAAGGAGAAAAAGAGATGGAAATGATCTGTCAAGTAGCTTCCAACTGCCACAGATGAAACTGTCCAGAGCTCTGTGTTTAAAACTGTATTTGCCTCTCAATTCGGTAGACAGATTATCCACTTTGTGGATTCAATGAAGCAAATGTTTCGGCCCTGGCTTTCGTCTTCTCTGAAACAGACTTCTAACCCCATCTTCTCTCCCTTATTGAGTGCGTGTATGCTCAAGGAATGCACCCTCATTTTAACACTGGCTACTGAGAAACAAAGGGACATGTATATAGGCTTCAAGGAAAAAAAAATGTGTCAGCAGAGGAAATGTGTTGTACCCTAGCTCCCCTCTGCAGGTGCTGCTAACACAGGCTGATTCTATCACTGCTCCTTCTTTCGGTGGTTTACGAGAAAGAAGTGGGGAGGCAGACACAGGGCTAATGTGGGTGGAGAAGAGGAGGCCAGGAAGGGGAGTGTTGGCAGCTTGGTGTCTTCACACTGAGGAGCAGACCCACGTCCCAGGCAGTGATCCCCGAGTACCAGGGCCTGGGCCTCGTGACCTCCTTGTGGTTACACAGACATCTGGAAACTAAACTTGGACAGACGGTGATCCTCTGGAGCTAGGGACTCGCCTATGATTGGCAGAGATGCAATGCCCAGTAGCTCAACCCCACTCCTTCCCACCTTGATTCAACTGCACAGACTCACTCACCTCCTGTCTTCCTCGTATTTGGACCTGGAACAAAAGAAAAGAACAGATGACTCAGACTGCAAAGGCAGAGGCTCGTCCGCCTGTGCAAGACTGGGAGGAGGGTAAGTTCTTTCCTAGAGGAAGGGAGCGGGTGAGGAAAGGGAGGAGGATGATAAAAGGTCAGACTCAGACTCCTGGTCTCAGCTCTGGAGCCAGCTTGGGGCTCAGGAGGTGAGGGTTCTCATTCCTCTGAGGGGCTCAATTAGCACAGACTGATGGTGATGATGGTGTCCTTAGCCAGCTAAAAGGAAGGGGAATGAGGCAAATACAGCTTCTCGCTTGGTATCTGTTTCAGCCTCTGAAGCTACCACAGAGGAAAAGGCTCCTCTTTGTGTCCACCTAGAACTAAATTAGAAGGGTTGGGCTGACACTGAGGCAAGAGGAAAGAAGATGAGGGCGCAGAGATAATACCTTGAGACCTGATTCAGAGGAACCTATTTAAAAGCGGTTAATGGTAACAGCAACTAATGCTGCGTGCTCACTACGGGCCAGGCACTATTCTAAGCTATTTACACGTATAATATTTACACGTATAATTTATTACTCAAAATAATAGGTCTCATATCTCCATTTAATGAGGCTAGCGCTTCCTTCTTTTAAATAGAAGCCTTTATAAGCAGGGTGCCTGTGCTGTCCATTATAACCCCACAGAACTCTGTGGTGTCTATGACCTCAGAATAGGCTCGGTCAGGTTTTGCCACCATCCCTGGCATGGTCGGGGTGATTAGTGCCATCTGACTGCTAGGGAAACTAAGGCCCAGAAAGATTCAGGGTTTGGCTGAGGGTCAGAGGGTTGTTTTCAAAGAATATACCCTTCCTGTGGGGCCTCATCTGGTCTCATCTCCAACCCGGATCTCTTGTCAAATGCCAGATTCATCTATGCAGTTGTCTACTCAAATCTCCAGTTTGATGTCTAAAGATCTCGGATTTTGACATGTCCGAGACTGAGCTCCCGGTTTTCTACCACAAAACTGTCCCTCACACAACTGTCCCTAACTCGACTGATGGCACCTTTGTCCTTTTAGTTGTTTAGGTAAGAACTGTGGAGTCTTCCTTGGTTTTCCTTTCTCTCACATCCTATACATCAGTTTTTAGGAAATCCTCCTGTTGGTTCTACTGTCAAAATATACTTGGAGCTGACCTCTCTTCACACCCTCCATCGTCAATTCTCTGGTCGGAGCCCTACTGCGTGGGTTCCCGTAACTGATCTCCCTGTTTCGAACCCCTCCTTGTTCTCCCACCACCCTCCACCCACCCTCGAGTCTCTCACAGCTCCAGTGGCTCCTCATTCACTGAGAGAAATAAAGACCTTAAAACAGTCCACAGGCTCTGCGAGGCTGCTCTTCCTGTTACCTCTCTGATTCAGCACTGAGCTTCTCAATCTTCTCTGGCCACACTGGTCTCCTACGGTTCCTCAAATACGTCAAGCACATTCCTACTTTGCCCTGTTGCCTCTGCCTGGGATGCTCTTCCCCTAAGATATTTCCAAGGATGACCCCCTCACTTTCTTCAGTTGCCCAAATGTAACTTTCTGGATGAGGCTCTATTTGAAATTGCAACCCACTAGCTCAGGTGCTCCTGACTCCCCTCAGCCTGCTCTATTCCCCCCCACCCCCAGCCTTATTTTCTAACATAGTATATAACTTACTTATTTATTATATACTGCTTTCTCTTCCCACAATAACATAAGCCCCACAAGCACTGCTGTTTGTTTATTAATGCATCCAGGAGCCTAGAACACTGCTTAGTGTCAGTGGGGACTCCACAGAAATTTGCTGGATTGAAATATCACTCTTAGTAGAGACTATCGAGATCATCTAGCCCAATCTCTGTCATTTTAGATGAGACCAAGGTAGATGACATAGCTTGATCAAGGTCACACAACTACTCGGGACTTCCCTGGCAGGCCAGTGGTTAGGACTCTGCGCTTCCACTGCAGGGGGTACAGGTTTGATCCCTGGTCAGGGAACTAAGATCCCACATGCCTCGCAGCGCAGCCAAAAAAAAAAGTCACACAACTATTGAGTGGAAAGAAGTACTGGGGTGAAAAATCTACCTCTAAGCCTGCAAGTGTCCCTACAAAGTCATCCCAGGCACCTGGGACACTTTTAGAAAATAAGACTGGAAAGATGCAACCACAGCAGCTGTGCCAGAAGTTCCTTAATAAGTTTAGTTAGGCTAGTCCTCTGATGTGATTAGTTAAAAATAGTCCAATTTCCCATGAACCACCTGCCTCCTGAAGGAACTTTATTCCCTGGAGAATCACAGCGTGGTTCTCACACTCAGCATCAGATATGACCTTAGAGCAAAAAGGGAGAACTGTCAAGAAGAGGCTAGGGAGGGGAAGCAGAAAGCTCCCTGCATTCCTGGAGCCCGTGGTTTGTCATAATCACCAAATTACTGTCAGGAGCCCCAGGCTCTGCAACTCCCTTGAAATTCCTGCAGCCCCAGCCTGAGAAATGAAGCAAGAGGGCTGGACTCTCCCCATCTTTCAGGGGAAGACGGATCAGGCAAGCAGTGGAAGAGGGGGAGAGGTTGGGAAACAGACCCACAAAACACGTCAATCTGCGCAGCATGTTCAGGGGGTAGAAGTGGATCGGAGACTCACAAAATGTCTCCTAGGGCAGCCAGCTGCTTCTCTGCCACCTGGCGCTCGCGGAGAGGGTCCCCATCCAGGTCCAGAAGGTCGTTTTCACCATACAGGCTTCCCAGCCCCAGAGTGCGCTTTGTTCTGAGCCAGAGAGACACACAGAGAAAGAAACACATGTACATCATTGCTGGACAGAGAGTGAGGCACACATACACACCTCACAAGAGATGCACACACACCGCAGTGGAAAGAAAACGGGCGAGGAGGCAGGGGAGAGAGCAGGACGGGGGGCGCCGGGCACCTGTAGTCATGGATCTGCTCCTGGATCTCTGGCATGGCTGCCTCCTGAGCCTCACAGAGAACAGCGCGCACGTCCTCACCATTCCGCAGGCGCAGGTCTGCGGTGGGAGCCGAGGGGAGACAGATAGGGGAGGGATGTCAGGAGGAGGAGGTTATATCTGCTGAGCATCTTCAAGCCTCTTAGCTCCCTGGGGTACCGCGAGGGAAAGCTGGCTTTCTGCCCTCCTGTTAACCAAGGGAAGTGGAGGCCTGGACCTACCAGGTCATTCCTGAATTCAGGACTGGAATCCTGACATCCAAGTCCCAAGGCAAGGACAAAAACATTTTCAGGCTGTTCTACACTCCATTAAGTGGGGAAATATTAAAGTCCCTCTTTGGATGTGTCCAGACGCTGCTGCCCTCTGGCATCATGTGCAAACCTCTGAGAGGCTCATTCTCCTTCCACTGACCCAGGGCCAGCTCGCAAGGCTGAAAAAGGCAAGGAAACCTAACTCCCCACCAGAAACTGGAAGGTGTCTCTCCTGTCCCTACATTCACCCTCTGCCTGTGCCCATAAGCTTTCCTATCATCTGGGCCTGTAAAGTGCCTCTTTTCCAAGGCAGCTTCAAACTATTAGGTCTAGAAAGCTCCCATGATTAGCCTCTCAGACTAACATCCTCTTTCTACCACCTCCCTCAGCTCTTCTAGTCGTGGCTTGAGAGTGAGACAGGAGCAGAGCAACTGCCTCGTTCCCTGCCTCCTCACTCTGTGTGAGCTGAGGAACTCACGCAAACGAAACCAAAAGAACAAAAAGACTCCAGAGATCCTGACTCTCAGGTGGGGTGGAGTGAGGCACTGGTTTCTGTATTTTTAAAGAAGAATTCCCCAAGGGATCCTGATGCTCGACCAGGCTTCGGAATCCAATTTCCTCTTTGTACAGATGAGCCGACTGAGGCCCAGAGAGGTCACATGGAAGGTTGGTAGGAACGACCCCGCTCTCCTAACCAAGCCTTGTCTCCCTGCGACAAGCTCCCAGGCAGGGTCCGTTCTGTCTGTGCTTGTCCATAAGCTACCGTGAGGAGTTCTGGAGGAACTGTCCCTATTTCCCCCTATCTGAGAACAGCTGCCCAAGGCAGGGACTATGTCCCCCCGACCCCTCGCCCCTTCCTGAGGGCCCAGCACAGCAAGGTGGACACCAAGAGGAGACTAACCGTCCTAGGAGCCAACTTACCAATTTCAGCCTGTAACATCTCTGGGACCTTCACTCTCAGAGGCTAAAAGACAGAAGGGTGGGGGCAGAAGTGGTGAGATCCACACACCCCAGGGGATGTGGGAGATACTGTGCAGAGGCAAGGAGGGCTCCAGAACACTAGCTTCTCTCCCCCTTTCCCTACACTACCCTACCCTCCACTCACCTCTCTCCAACTGAATTCTAGGCTCGGGATTTGAGAAGTGGAATCTGAGGTGGCAAGGCAAGTTGGGACTCTACTCCGAGGGTGGCACCTGTACTCTTCCCACTCTTATTTCAAGGACATCAAGAGGCATGGAATGGAGAGGTTCCCAAAAGTGGACTGGTACCAATTTAGTAGCATGGGAGAAATCTTGATGAGGCGATTTGATGGGCTTCCCCGCTCCTTCACTCCCAAGGGAAAACTGGCCTCATGTCACCAAGTCTTCCAGTGAGCAGAGCGCCTGGCTTTTGCTTTACGGCTGCCTGCCCGCTGGACATTGCGGTGGTTCCGTAACAGCCAACAGGGAACAACGAGCAGCTCTAACCTCCTTACTCAAGACCCACTGAAGGGGGCAAAAATAAAAATCTTGGGGAAAAGCCGTTTATTCCCCAGTCTCATTAGTCCTAGTAGCTTGCTGCCAGATGAATAAAGTCATTTTGGAATTAGTTTAGTTGATCAGATTAGAAAGTCTAAGATGGGAACTGCCCTCTGCAGGCCGAGGTGCTGCCGCCGGGGGATCCCTGACACATCCCTGGGAGCTATGTCCAGATGCAGCGTGCTCATCCACCCCAGACACTCTGGGGTCCCCTCCCTCTGAACCCTGCCTTGGGGCAGTAAGAGCACGTCAGGCTGAACTTCAGAAATCTGGGCTCGCCTCTTGGCTCACTGATTTCTATCATCTGATGTCTCTGGGCCTCTGTTTCTGCATCCCAGGGATGGGCAAGGCAAGGAGAGTTGAAGGGAACCAGGGCATTGATCCAGGGGAGAGTAATTAGGACTTGGTGCAAGTTCTTTTTCTCCAAACATTTCAGAGAGAGGCAATGTGCACTCTACCTTGCTACATGTGGGCAAAAGAGGTCCAGAGAGGAGATCAATCTTTAGAGTGGAGCTAGGAACAGAATCCAGGAATCCTCTTTAAGAACCTGTCTCCAGGGACTTCCCTGGCAGTCGAGTGGTAAAAAATCTGCCTCCCAACGCAGGGGACGTGGGTTCGAGCCCTGGTCGGGGAACTAAGATCCCACATGCCGTGGGGCAACTAATCCCGCGTGCCACAACCACCGAGCTCGCACGCCTCAACTAGAGAGAGAAAACCCACCCGCCACAACTAGAGAGAAGCCCACGCACAGCAACAAAGAGCCCGCACGCCGCAATAAAAGATCCCGCATGCCTCAGTGAAGATCCCACGTGCCGCGACTAAGACCAGATGCAGCCATAAAAATAAAATAAATATTTAAAAACCCCCCAAAACCAAAAAAACCTGTCTTCATTCGGCCTGAGTGTTTTGCTTAGTTTTTCCTCTGCCTCTGAATGGTCAAACAATATAATAAAGTTGAAAATTGTAATCCAGTCTATGACCGCCTTACCGCATTTTTCTCTAGGAAAATATTCCAGATGTCTTTTCCCAAGCTTCGGGAATCCTTGGGGTTTGTTTGCTGATAAACTTCTGCACACAAGTAAAAAAGCTGGGAGAGAGAAAATGGATTAGAGCAGTGATTCTCAACCAGGAGTGCTTTTGCCCTCCAGGGGACAGCTAGTAATGTCTGGAGGCATTTTTGATTTATATCTGGAGAGGTGCTACTGGCATCTACTGGGTGGAGTCCAGCGATGCAGCTAAAGATCCTGCCATGCACACGACAGCACCCCACAACAAAGAACTCCAAAGGTCAGTGGTGCTGAGGTTGAGAAACCCTGGCTTAGCACGTTTCAGAAACCTGTGGTAAGTCATCCCCACCCCTTGGCGCGCGCACACACATTCCCCCAACGCAATCTCTCCTCAACCCTGTATCCTCTCCACACTTGACATTTTGTCTTGCACTTGTTTATCTGTTGTTTTAAAGGGTTCAGGTGTTATTTCTCTTTGTGCTGTGCCTCGTCTTCATTCAGGAATGCTTCTGAGATACCAGCGCTTGGGATGTACACGCAGGTAGGTGTTCACTGAACACCTGTTGAGCAAACGGATGCTGACTCTGGCTTCTAACAGTGGTAGCCCCGGAAAGGAAGAGCCGCAGTGCATGCCACGGGCAACAAGTTTATTCTGGAGAACATGACAGCAGCCTCTCTCCTTCATCCCCCTTCCTAAGCAGCTGAGCAGAACGACAGAAACTGGTAAGGCTGCTGGCTCTGGGCACTGTCGCGGAGCACCCCGACCTCCATCCCGCCACGATCTTCCTTGTCATCACCTTCAGACTGAAGACCTTTTACCACCTTCCCCCTCTGCCAAGCTTTCTTGCAGTAACACTGTATACTTGCAAAGGGCTGCTCTCTCAACTCCCCACTGTCAGTCTGTATCCACCTTCATTCCAAAAACCTAGAAAGACCATCTCCTCCAAGCAGACCCAGAACGACAGCTTTCTTGGCCCAGCTCTCCTGTTCCTCCCTGTGCTATCGATGCAGTTAGCAGTGAAGAATCCCTTCCACCTAGGTTGCACCTTCTCTTCTATTTTGTCTCTGTCCTCGAGATGCCTGACCATGCCCATGGATCTGACTTATGACATCTAGAGAGCAGGGACAGAGGCCAAGCACAAGCAGGTACTCAATCGAGACAGATACTTGCGACTTACCAGTGGACTGGGGTCCGCCTGAGAGAAGATGTACCGTAGAAAAACCCCCAGGTGAGCCGGCCGTGACTTAAGTTTCTCAAAGTCCTGGAATATGATGTCGCTCTGGAAGGCAGAAGGACAGGCGGGGCTGGGGGGGCAGAGAAGCACTGCCTGCCCCAGCTCAGCCCCCATGCTCCCTGCCTGCCAGGGCTGATAAGCGCGGCCCCTCCCGTACGCTCCCTCACAGCTGGTGCCAGTCCAAGCGCTTCTAGTCCAGAACAGCAGGTACGACAGAGAATGAGGAAAGGAGAAAATCAGGAAACTGTTACCTCGTTGTTGAAATAACCCGGGTCATAATCTTCCTCTGGGCCAATAATTAAAGGCTTTGGGCTTTGATCTACACCCTGGGGGAGAGAGTCGAGTTGTAGAGATGAGAGGTCAGAGGACAGGGATCCAGCCCCCTCAGTGGAGTTTGGTTAGTGACAGCATGGCACTGAAGGGGAAGGCCACACGGGGCTGGTAAACACCGGCATCTCACTACCACCCCCCAAATCTCAGAGAACAGAAAGAATGATTTCCACTTGCAAGAAGGCAACTGCTTCTGGGTGGGGCAGGGCAGACTCAGAGCAGCCTGGTCACATGACGTATGAAGATGGGAAGTGAGAGAAAGTGCTCTCTTCCTGTTTGTGAAAGATCTGAGGAGGGAGTGTCAGCCCACAAAATAAGAACCTAGAGCTTCTGCTGGACTGGTGGGCGGGGGCTCTGTTGTTCTCCTCAACAGACCGCCCCCCACCCCAAAAACACGCCCTCCAAACCTAGTGTCTTCCACAGCGCTCCTCTACAGTTTCGGTGTGCCCTCTACCCCTGCTGGAGGAGAGCTTTGTGGTCCATCTCTGCCTCCTTGAGCAAAAGGGAATGGAGCTTTGCCTTCTCCAACACCGTCTCCATCATCTTCCCTGCCTGCTCAAGAATCTATGGTAGATTCCCCATTTCCAGTCTAAAATCCAAGTTTCTCAGCTTGGCCTTCGCTCTTTCCCCCTTATGCCATCGATTAGGTCTGATGAGAGAGTTCATACTGTATAAACGTTTTAGACGCTTCATTGGACAAGCCTTTCTCCTAAAGGTTCCTTGAGCTTTCAAAGATTTCCTACCAACTATATTTTTCACTCAATTCACTCTACCTCATTTTCAGTGATTCCTCATCAAGGACTATGCTCTGGAACCCATCTGGAGGAGGCACTTCTCATGCCTACTTTTTCTCAGGCCCCAGACACCCTCCTATTCCACCTTCTCAAGGGGCTTTTCCTGACGGTTCCTCCCTGACACACCTCACTCATTTTTGTTCTCCTGGGTATTTACAGACTCTATGCTCGGAATGACTGAGTATAGAACTCGAGAGACCCAGGATGCATCTCAGAGATCAGAGTCTAGCACTCACTTATAATGGCATGCTGGAAGTTGCAGAGTCAGGCCTGATGTGCTGGACCTGAATTCCTCAGACACATCCTGAGTATCCTCCTCTCCCCTAACACCTTAGTCTCTGAATCCCTTGGGATCCAGGATGCCCAGGGGGTGTGGGATGATCACTTCTGTCTCTGCTTGGCTCTCTAGTGAAACCTGAAAGCACTAGGTTGTTGCTTGTTTGGGCGGGAGGATTTATTTTTTTAAAGTCTTTACAAACATACAGTTTTTCTGATTGCAAAAGCAGAATATGTTTATCATAAGAAAATCAAACATTGCGGAATTACGTAACAAAGTTTGAATTCCCTATGATTCCATCCCCCAGCTGCTGCAAGTTTCATGGATAGCACAGGTTTCCACCTTTGCTCTTACTAACATAGATTATTATTAAGAAACTGGAACTATACTATATTTGCTCTTATCACTCAAAAATAACAATTTAAATAGTTTTCAGAAGTTGAAACAAATTCAGAGAAGGAGGAAAAGGACTCCAAGACCAATTACTCTACACCTGCTTCTATTAGCCACCTAAATGAAAACCTCCCTTAAGAACACCATGTGGGGGCTTCCCTGGTGGCACAGTGGTTGAGAGTCCGCCTGCCGATGCAGGGGACACGGGTTCGTGCCCCGGTCCGGGAAGATCCCACATGCCGCGGAGCGGCTGGGCCCGTGAGCCATGGCCGCTGAGCCTGCGCGTCCGGAGCCTGTGCTCCGCAACGGGAGAGGCCACAACAGTGAGAGGCCTGCGTACTGCAAAAAAACAAACAAACAAACAAAAAAACAAAAAGAACACCATGTGCACCTGACCCTGCCTGGAAAGCCTGACCTTGGCCCTATAGTACTACTAAGGGGGAGTGGTGGTGGTGGTGGAGGAGGAGTGGGAGGGGTGATCAAAGAGCGTCTAGGACAGGAGGCAGCCCTGCACTGGGGCTCAGGAAAACTAAGTTCTAGTCTGATGCTGCCATTAGCAAGCTGAGTCCTTGAATGGTCCCTTAGCCTTTCTCTGCCTCAGTTTTCTCACTGAATGAAGATTCTAATGCCTATCTCCTTTTCTGGTGGTAAGAATTAAATGAGATTTGTTCCTAAAAGATCTAGCACAGCAGCTGGTACACTAGGCATTTTAATACATGTGAGATCCACTTCCCTGCCTTTCCCCCTCCAAGATCTGAAAGTAACTAAACTCTATCCTATGGGGAGAACTAGCGCATCAAACGGTGTATGATGTTGGTTTTAATATAATGGCAAATTTCCTTTAAAAATAAATTTAAGTTTTAAAAAGTGAGTTAGCTTAAAGAAAACTATTAAGTAACATTATATAGTTGGTATGAGGATATGGAAAAAAAATTATGGTGGTAGCAGATGAATTTTAAGAAACACTGCTTTACAAAACTCGGAGCTTTCTTGCCACTGTCTCTAACAAGGAATGACCTAACCTCTGCCTGAACAATGACAGGCAATTCCCGGGCTCTCAAGTCAGCCCATTCCATTGTCTGATAGCTCAGGTTCTTTGCAAGCTTTTTGCATGGAGCCAAAAACTGTCTTCCTGAAATCTCCCCTGGACCTAGTTCTACCCTTGAAAGCAGTGGCTTTCAAATCAGGCTTTGCAGAACCTTAGGGCTCCGGAGAAGTGCCCCTGAGGTGGGGGCCGAGGTGGGGAGATTGATTAGGAAAAGTCCCAGATAGCTGAGCATTTATTTGTTTTCTGTATTAGGGTACCAAATAATAAGATTTTGCTCAAGAAAAGGACTTTGCTAAAGAAAGAGAAGATTGAAAATTAGTGTTCTGGAGAAACACTGAACCAACCTATTTCCCATTCTATACAGACATTAAAAGAAAGACCAGCAATCTGCTCCTTGGACATCACTTCCCTACAGATGCATTCACGGACTCTTCACCCAGAAACTGAGATAGCCTTACTTCCATGTATGCATTTAAACCATGTTCTTCCTTTACTATTTGTCCTCTAGTGTCTATCTCAAAACAGGGTTTAGTCTGATCGTTCAAGGCCACGTATGGGTAACCCAGTTCTGAAAACAGGGAAAGCAAAAGCGCACGGTGGCTCTGATCACTCACCTGGTCACCGCTGGGGGGAACCAATGCATCCGAGCCCTGCCGCCTGTGGTGCTGGGCCACCCGGGCCATGATTACAGGGGAGGTTCGAGGACTGTCTGGCCCAGGGTCTGACAGTACTGAGTTCCGATTCACCAATGACTAGAGGAACAGAGAATTCTGTGAGAAGAAAACTCGTCCAGGGACTTCCCTGGTGGCTCAGTGGTTAGGAATCCGCCTGCCAATGCAGGGGACACGGGTTTGAGCCCTGGTCCGGGAAGATCCCACATGCCTGAGCAACTAAGCCTGTGTGCCACAACTACTGAGCCTGCGCTCTAGAGCCCGCGAGCCACAACTACTGAGCCCACGTGCCTAGAGTCTGTGCTCTGCAACAAAAGAAGCCACCACAGTGAGAAGCCCACGCACTGCAAAGAAGAGTAGCCCCCGCTCGCTGCAACTACAGAAAGCCTGAATGCAGCAACGAAGGCCCAAACGCAGCCAAAAATTAAAAAAAAAACACAGAAAACCTCATCCAGAAGACCCTCAGGGCTCTGCTCGTTGGCTAATAAAAGTCCAGGACTTACTCTGTGCCTGACATTATACTAGCCCTTGGTTATGTATCACCTCATTTAATGCTCACAGGAGCCCTTTGAGGTAGAAACTATTATTCCTCCCACTTCTCACACAAGGAAACTTAAGACTTGGAGAGGTTCTGGGACTTGCTGAAGGTCGAATAGTTAGCAATGTGGTATTCCCTGGATGCAACCTGGGCAGTCTCAACCCACTGCCCACTAGGCTGCATTGCTTCCAGATGTGGAGCCTGCAGGGGAATGTCAACTGTGGATTATTTAGGACCCTCCTCCCCCTTCTTGGTGTCTTTCTGACGTACTGATCCTTCCACGTACATTCATCACCTTCCCACGAATAGACAGGAGCAGTAAAGAAATAAAATTCCAACTATTATTTAAAATTAGGTTTTAAACATGTTTTCAATTACTTATTCACATATTTAATTAAGCTGGCTAAGTAAATATTTTGCTCACACCATTATTACTTCTTCCATTCACTCTTATTTTTATATTGCAAGTTTATATTTGCAATTAATATATGCAGACTGAGAACACCTAGAAGACAACCTTTGAAGCCAAAGCCTGGAGTTCTTCTGACCACTCCAGAAAAGATAAGTTGTTCAAGTACAGAAAGATCTGTGACAAAGAAAGAGAGGCTGCCACCTCCGACTAGGCCAGGTTCATTGTATTACTCCAAGATGGTGTTATTCGCAGCCAGCTGGCAATGTGTTTTTGGTCCAGTCATTGTTTTAGAGAATTTTCGTCTCTGCTCCCTTACACTCAGAAAAGGCTTGCTACAGTTAAAGGTATGGCCTCTTTCTCCACCCGACTCTGTACTACAGAGTTGACGATGATAAAACAGAAGCCAGATTCGCTGATCTTGAGTGCAGGATGCATCTGAACCCCCTTTTTTTGGATCCCAGAGCAGAATGACTAAAACCCTTGGAACTGGAACTATACCAGAGGGCCACAGATGACAGGCCAGAGGCCTTGGTGTAAGCAGTGAGCATAGAACTTTTAGGTGTTCAGAGAAGGAAAACTGAAGGTATGGTTTTAAAAGGGGCTCCCCCCGCTTTGGCACTCACCTCGCCGAGGGAAGGAAAGCGCTCTGTGCCAGAGTCCAGGCCACCGTCCCCCTCCTGGGAATCCAGAGAGAGTCGGCCTGAGAAGAAAAGAGTTTACACAGTGAGGAAGGAGCTGTGGCCTGGGGGAAAGAAGGGCCTTTATTCTGGGAACCTGTGCCCAGGGCAGGAGGGCGAAGCTGCCACCTGCCTTTCTTTCCCGGTTTCCCTTCAGCTCTCTTACACGACTCCCCGAGAACCTCTACACCTAGCTTTTACCTACCTGTACACCTGAGCCCAGGCAGTGTCACCTCCTAAAATAATCCTCCATAGCTCTACCTTGCAACGAGTGCTAGCCCTCAGCTCATCCCAACCCTCTTCTGGTTCCCATCCATCTCCTCTTATGACAGCATCTCTTGAGCTCCTAGCTGCTAGGTGCTGGTAGGCATGCTGTTGTCTGGACCACCATCATTCTAGTATTTCCCTGGCACTTATCGATCCAGGGCTACTGGTTATACACTCATTTCTACTGAATAAGTTGTATCCAAGTTCCCTGTCACTGGTACTGCTTTCTCTCATTATTCTATTTCTCAGAGGCAGGGACTATACTTTTTCCCCCTGAATCTGCCCCAAAGGGACGGGACAACAGAATAGATAAGAAATGTAGACTAGAGATGCGCCAGAGAAAAAAGGCGTGCTGACGGGACTCACCTTCTGATGATCTCTGGCCGGTGTCACCATATAGCGGAAGTATGTCCTAAAAAAGAAAGGTCCGGAGGGTGGACATATGCTGTGAACCTCTCCCCCTACTGTTTTCCTCCTTCCCTCAGTCTCAGCAGATAACATCTGCTTACAATTAGTGGCCTCTTCTGCTTCATTGCCTGAAAAATGCCCCTTTGGAAGAGCTATTGCTTCATTTGTACAGTTTGAGGAGAATGGTGACCCCTAATGGTGAAAAGGGAGCTTTACTATTAGTAAAATTCTAAAAACTTACTTGATTTCTCACCCTGGACCTCAAAGCGTCTATTGCCTTAGTTGGGCTGGACACAGAAAGAACTTCCGAACTATCAAGGAGTATGAAAAGCTCTAGCAGATGGAAAGCTCTGCCTCTAAAGATCTTTGAAGACTGACAGGCGCTGGACTGGGGCTGACCAGCCATTTGTGGAGGGAATTATGTTGCCAGTGCTTTACTGTTTATGATGCACTCTTGTCTATATCTCATTGAGTTTTTCAACAACTCTGAGGCAGGTATAGTACTCCCATGTTATAAATGAGGAAACAGAAGCCCAGAGATTTTAAGTAACTTGCCCAAGGTACACAGCAGGTAAACTATAAAGCCAGGGTTGGCGCTCAGACCCCTAGATTCCAAGCTGAATGTTTCAGACTCAACCGCTTACAGAGCACACGAGCGCAGAGGGAGCGGCAGCAGCAAACATGCACTGGCCCCGTGCTGAGGGCATCCTTTAATTCTGACAATACCACTACTAGGCAGATCCTGCCGTAGCTCCATTTCATAAATGAGGACACCAAGGCTCCCAGGGATTAAGTCACTTGCCCAAGAGTCTTAAAGCTGGTGAGCACTATAGCTGGGAGGTGAATCCAGATGGTCTAAGTCCTAAACCTGAGCTCCTATCAACCATGTGATACTGAAAGCCCTTCAGAAAATAAAAGTTTAAATTTGATTAGCCTGTGTTTCCCAGACTTTTTTGATCTGGATGTTCTGAAAAAGAAAGTAGATAATCCTCAAATAATTTCTGTTGGCTTTGGCAAATATTATTCTTGGAGATCTTAAAGTTTTTGGAGAGTTACTTATTTACCCAAAGAATTAAGACCTGATGGAGAGAAGTAAGACACTAATTAATACTTATTAATTAATAAGTCCCTGACTAGAACAGATAAGGAAGTGCCTCCTCTCTGGGATTTCCCACAAAGTGTGGTTAGTACTGCTACAGATCCCTCTCAACTGACTGGAGATCCTTTACTTAGGCTGACTTTTAAAAGTGCTCGTACTTCTTTGAGAAGACCCATTACTGGAGGGAGAGGTGATGGGAAAAGCTACCAGATGAATAATGAGTAAAATTAGTGTCGGAATATACATCAGCTATGAGGAAACTACCCAGAAGGGGATGGATAATTAGGAGATTAAAGCCGACAGTCTGATTTCTTTCATATTTATTTCTTTCTATTGCACCTGTAAGCTGCTGGAGGGCAAGAAACAGGCTATTTCCTTTTATGGGATCCCAAGTGTCAGGACAGTGCTCAGTCTCTGTGGTGCTACATAAAGAACTGCTGACCTCTGTTTCTTTGTAAAACACTAAACACTCACTAGCTCAGCCCTGCGGTCCTGTATGACTCGGGAAGCCTCTGTCTTAGATTTCTCCCTCATTCTCCCCTCCGTCCACCTGCACGTGCCCTTCCTAGAGCTTCGCCTATCATCACTCACCACTAAGCCACCAGTCTCCTGCTGGATCTTCAGCTGTAACTGAGTGACTCGCCGCCGGGCGCCTTCGATCTGCTCTTCCAGCAGGCTGCCGGGGTTCCGGCTATACACCTCACAGATACGCTGGGGGGCGGGGGGGGGCAAGGAGGACAAGGAGGAAGGGAAAAGGCAGAGGAGTGGTTAGTAGAGAATGGACGACTCACCAGTGGGGAGAGTAGGCAGTTATCCCAAAACAAAGAGGAGAGAAAGGAGATCTCTGCCTCCTAGGAGATACATGTTATTTCACCATCACTCAGGAGCAGAAAGAGGTATAAATGGTGAGAAAAAGAACACGAGGCAACTAGAGAAAGAAGACATGACACAAAGGCCCGTCCTAATCTGACCTGTTCTTAAGGCCTACTTGCTAAATGAGGTCTTCCTTGACTGCTGCCGAAGGGTTAGATATTTAAGTGACTGGCCAGACCAGCACACACAAAAAAGTGCTAAGGAGGAAACATACACACAGTGAGAACCACAGGAGATGAGAGGAAGAAGCACCCCCGTCCCCCAGCCCTGTAGCTGGGAACCACTCTGAGACATATCTAGCATCCTCCCAGCATACGGCAGAGCACAGCATGTGTGTTTAGGGCTTGGGCTTTGCAGTCAGGGAGGCCTGGCTCTGAATTCTGGCTTACTAGCTGTGTAGACTTGGGCAAGCTTTACTACGTCCTCATGGATCAAATGGAGATGACGGTACCTGCCTTTGGGGATGGCTGTACGTTCTGAATGAGATTACGTACGGAAAGTGCTGAGCAGAATGTCTGGTGCATAATTACTTGACTGAATACATGGCAGCTATTATGTTTTACTACCAAATGAAATGCTCAGTGAAGTTGGCGGGTTAAATAGTTAAATAAAGACGTCGGGTGCACGTTTTCTCCAAGATCGTCTGGGGCCATACTTGCCGTCTCATCTTCTCCACGCCTCTCGAGCCCCCAACCCTCCCCTTAGTCTCTGCGGATAGTATCGGCTGGTAAGAACTTTCCCAACTTTACTCCATTTCAAGGCGTCCGCAGCCACCCTTTCCCCCTGCCTCAGAATAGAAACTCTGTCTGAATCTTCCACAAGGTTAGTGCCTCCAGCTGCCTCGGGCTCCTCTTGGGCATCGTTCACGTATCTCCAAAGTCTCCTCTTTCCAATGGCTCCTTCCCCTCACCCTACAAAAATGCTCGTTTCCTGTCTTAAAACAAAAACAAGCCACTACAACAAAACCTTTTCCATCAAGTCTGATTATTCTTCAAGCCACCGCCTCAGTCTTTTCTCTTTCCTTTCACAGCCACATGTTTCCAAACAGGAGTCTCTATGCAGAGCCCAGAGTTCTTAGCCTTCCAGCCACTCTTCAGCATACACAGCCGAGTTCCGCTCATCACCCCGCTCTTCCAAAGGCGAAATGACCCACTGGCTGAATCCAATGGTCTCTTCTTAGTCCTCATCTCTCCAGACCTCTTTAAAAACACCCACCTCCTCCAAATGCTATCCTCTTTTGACTTCTTAACTCAACACTGTCTTGGGTCACCTCACACCCCTCTCCCCAACCACAGCTTTACCCCCTCCTCCTCTCTTCAATCTAGGTGAGCCTTCAGCCCCGCAAACATTTACAGGGAGCTGATACACACCAGGCCCTGTGCCAGCTGTGCAGGAGGAATATGCAAATGTAGGCATGGTCCTGGCCTTTAAGGAACTTAGCGCAATAGAGGAGGACAAATAAATAATTAAAATACAAATACAACAGCAACTGGTGTGATGTTAGAGGTTGGTGCGGTGTGCTACAGAAGCACGGATGTTCCGAAATTCTGCCCTCAGCTCTCTCCTCTTTTCTGCAGTGGTGCCCTAGGTGATACCGTCTAGTCCCCAGTTTCAACTACCGCCTGTATGCTGAGGCCACCCGAATCTCTATTTCAACCCAATCTTTTCTTCTGAGGTTCATCCTTGTTATCTCCATGTGCCTGGTGGATGATCTTTTTATCTGAACCTCCCATGGGCGCTTAAACTCAGTACATCCAAAGATTACCTTCACTCCTTTCCCCTAAACCCTGCTCCTCTCTTCCACCTCACTCCATCAATGGTATCACCATCTATGTAGGCACACAAACTTGGGGCTATCTTTGCTTTCTTCTTCTTTACCTCCCCCTTCCAGTTGATAAGTTCTCCTGACCTGACCCCTGAGATAGCTCCCATTGCCAACCCTCTTTCTGTTCTTTTTCCTTTTGGCCACGCCGAGTGGCATGAGGGATCTTAGTTCCTCGACCAGGGATTGAACCCATGCCCCCTGCAGTGGAGGCGCAGAGTTCTAACCCCTGGACCGCCAGGGAATGGAGGGAATTCAATGTGTCTCACATTGCCATCCCTCCGTCTGTTCTTACTCCTGCTGTTCTTGTTAAATCGGTCATCATTTTTTTTTTTTTAATTTCTCATTAACTTTTTTTTTTCATCATTTCTTATCTACTGAAACAGCCTCCGAGATAGTTTCCTTACGTGTCAATCCACTTAACACACTTTTCTAAAGAAAACTGATTTGAAGATATGATCACTCCCCTACTCAAATCCTTTAATCAATTCCCACTGCTTTCAGAATAAACTTCAAGCTCATCATGGTATTGAGGGCCCAAAGCACATTCCAGAGTGAAAAAGACTGAACCCAACTGGAATGTCATCTCATGAAGCCTCCTCTGATCACTGCATAATTACTTAATCCTTCTTTGGGGCTTTAATGGCATTTAAAAAATATTTAAAAAATTATTACCGACATATAATTCACATAACATAAACTTTGCCATTTTAAAGTATACAATTTAGGGGACTTCCCTGGTGGTCCAGTGGTAAAGAATCCGTCTTCCAAGGCAGGGGACTCGGGTTTGATCCCTGGTCGGGGAACTAAGATCCCACACGCCACGGGGCGACTAAGCCCGCACACCAAAACCAAGAGCCGACGCACGGCAACGAAAAAGATCCCGCAGGCCGCAACTAAGACCCAACGTAGCCAAAAAAATAAAGAAAATAAATATTTTTAAAAAAAGTATACAATTCAGTGGTTTTTAGTATATTCACAGAGTTGTACAAACATCCCCACTATCTAATTCCAGAGCATTTCTATCAACCCAACAAGAAAGGAGTCACTCCCAATTTCCCCTTCCTCCACCTCCTGGCAACCGCTAATTTACTTTCTGTTTTTATGGATTTACCTATTCTGGGCTTCCACACAGATGGAATCATACAATATGTGGCCTTTTGTGCCTGGCTTCTTTCACTTAGTCTGTTTTCAGGGTTCTTCCATGTTAAAGCATGTATCAGTACTTCATTCCTTTTTATGGCTGAATAATATCCCACTTTATGGATACAACACATTTTGTTTATCTACTCCTCAGTTAATGGGAATTTGGGTTGTTTCCACTTCTTGGCCATTATGCAATTAAGCAATGCTATTATGAATGTTTATGTACACGTTTTATGCTTTGAACTCTCTTGGGTATATACATTGGTGTGGAATTGACAGATTGCACGTTTAATATTTTGAAGAATTGCCAAACTGGCTGCACTACGGTGGGAGTAGATTAGGATAGCGGATATGTAGACAAAATATAAACAAACATTTCTCCAACTTCTCCACATGCTCACCAATAACTGCTATTTTGGCTCTAGCCATCCTAGTGCGTGTGCAGTGGTATCTCGTAGTTCTGGTTAGCCTCTCCCAATGACTAATGATATTAAGCATCTTTTCATGTGCTTATTGGCCACTTGTATGTCTTCTTTATTGGACTGTGTATTCAAATTGTCTGCTAACTTTTAAATTGGGTTGAGTTTTAAGCATCTATTACATGTTCTGGTACTAGACCCTTATCAGATATATGTGCTGCAAATATTTTCTCCTATTCTGTGGTTGTCTTTTTACTTTCTTGACAGTGTCCTTTGATGGATAAAAGTTTTTAATTTTGATGAAGTCTAATTTATCTTTTTTGGGAGGCTGTTTATGCTTTTGGTGTCAGGGCCTAGAAACCACTGCCTCATCTAAGGTCATAAAGATTTATACCTATGTTTTCTTCTAAGAGTTTTATAGTTTTTAAAAATAGTTTTAGCTCTTACATTTAAGTCTTTGAGCCTTTTTTTTTGCGGTACGCGGGCCTCTCACTGCTGTGGCCTCTCCCGTGTGGCGCACAGGCTCCGGACGCGCAGGCTCAGCGGCCACGGCTCATGGACCCAGCCGCTCCGCGGCATGTGGGATCTTCCCGGACCGGGGCACGAACCCGTGTCCCCTGCATCGGCAGGCGGACTCCCAACCACTGCGCCACCAGGGAAGGCCCTTTGATGCATTTTGAGTTAAATTTTGTTTATTGTGTGAGGTAAGAGTTCAAATTCATTCTCTGCGTATAGATATCCTGTTGTCCCAGAAGCATTTGTTGAAAAGACCATTCTTTCTCCACTGAACTATCTTGACACTGTCAAAAACCAATTGACCATAGATGTATGGATTAATCTCTGGACTCTGAATTCTATTCTACTGATCTATAGGTCTATCTTTATACCAGTACCACACTATCTTGATTATTCTATGACTTGCATCAAAATGCAAGTATCAGCACTTATTATAGTGCAGTATAACTTTATCTTCATTCATCCATTGATATTCTACTGGATTATAAACTCCTTAAAGGAAAGATTCATCTCTCACTTATCTTTATAACCATTCTAACCTTTGTCCCTAGCACTGGCCCATGCCTCCACTGCAGCACACACACAGTACCTAGCACACAGCAGGAACTCAAAGTTTGTTAAATAAACGAGTGTATTTTCATGTCTTGGTGCCTTTGACCTATGCTGTCCATTTACCTGCATTCTCTTCCTCATCTCCTTTGCCTGCTGAAGCCCTATCCTTCAAGGCCCAGCTGAAATACAATCTTCTCAGTGAAGTTTCCCTCACATTTCCCATTATTAATTAACTGCTCTCTTCTTTGTTCTCTTATTGCAAGCTCTTTGTTCCTCCCACTCTCTTACCGTAATATGAATTTTCCCCATGAGATTGTAAACATGTTGAGGGCAAGAACTGTCTAATCGTTTTAATCTCTGTATACTCTAGGAACTAAAGCAATGCTTTACATACAGTGGGAACTTAGAAATTTGTTGAATTGAAATGAAGGGGCAAGGAGCCCACTGTAAGCCATGGCTATTATAGGAATCTGGTTATTCCCGTCCAGCCAAATTAATCTTCTTCCTGTTCTCCCTGTGCATCATTCCCCAGGCCTGGAAATCTCTCTGCATCCCCTCCTCCATCAGCCTGGCCTGGCATTCACCCCCCACCCCCACCTTCCTTCCCTCTTATCCTTCCCTTCCCAGAACCTCTAAGATCAATTCCAACTGATTTTCCTCAGTTCTCATGTTCCCTCATTTTATTCTACCTGTCTCATCACTTGTTTGTATTCTCTCTACATAGTCGCCATTCTAATCTATTACCATAAGCTCTATTACCCTATTCACTCTATCCATCAAATTCTGCTTTAACAAATTCCACTGGCCTATGACAATTCTTTAGTAGTCCTGAAGTTTGACTTTTTAAGGTTTTACTGTGATAGGATATGGCCTGCAAATTAAGTTGTACACATTGGCAGATTGCTCTGATAAAGTATTATTTCATTAAGGCAATGGCCAGTCTACCCTCAGCAGCGACCTTACCTGTAACTCTTTTTCCTCCTGCCTCAGCATATTCCTAAGGATCTGAGTGGCATGTTTTTGAAATTCAGGATCCTAAGAATGGAAAATATGACAGTAGTGAGAATTGGGGACCAGATCAATAGCTTTTATTCTCGTCTACTAGCTGATTCCTGGTCGAGGAAAGCTATGAGAGTAGAGCCTGGGTCGTAAGAATGTTTTGTATAACACTCAGTATCTCACTGAAATTCCGTAAACATAAAATCTGATTTTGATTTCATTCCTAATTTCCTAGAAACCCTGGCTGTAATCACATCTGTTATAAATTGCTCTCTGAAGTCTCCCAGGACTTGCTGGTCGGTCTTCTTTCCAACCAGAAAATCCTGTTCCCTATTCCTATCTGCCTCCTGTCCTCTTTTAACGCCTCACACAGGTTATCCTGGTCCTTGGGTTCTCTCCCTACTATTCTTGTCCTTTCCTGACTCTCTCCCCTACAGACTAGGCTCCATATTTCATTCCTCCAAGCAGCCTTTCTCCCCAGGAAGACTTTTCCCCTACTCCTTGACTTATTCCATACCCTTGTAACAATGACTGGCAACAGTCTTTACAGATGCCTCTGACCATGGCTGGAGGTGTGCACCTTCTCCCCGACGGGGAGGAGAACTCTCAAAGGGCCTCCTTAGAGTCTTGCACACACACAGGAAACACACTGCATGCTGCTATCTGATAAACTGCATATGCACTTACATGGAAAGAGGACACTAAGGCATGGAACACCCCTTTAATGCAGTTCTCATTTTGCTCTACTTTTTGATGGCCTTCATACAGCTCTTTGGCTTGTCTCTTTCTGCCAGCCTGCCATTTGATTTAACCTGCTTTCATTCCAATGGGGAGCTCTTCAAAGGGACACCAGAATGAGGAGAGGAGTAGGCAGACCATTACCTGCAGAGGTTTGGGTCCTGTGATGCGCTGTGGAGGTGGCAGAGGTGGAGGGGGTGGTGGTGGTGGGATCACAGGGGTGACTCGGGGAGCTCCTGCTGGGACTGGGTCCTGCTGGGGCCCAGAGACACCAATGGATGAGGGTGAAGAGCCCAGGAGGGTCAGTGCAACATAGGCACCAGCTGGAGGAAGGCAAAGAGAGGCTTGCTCAAGTGGTATTGTTCTCAAGAGCAGACATTCAAGGTACAAAGGAGGGGGTTCTCCCTTCTCCTTCCATTAAGCTTATAATTCTGCAGGTAAAGTTCTCCTCACTTTTAATGCCCCACCTGTTCTCTAATTCCTGTCCTTCCATCCTGCATCAACACAAGTATCCCTTCCTTCCCTTTCCTCATGCAGAGACCTCAACCAAAATCCCACCCGTAACTATGTGGGAGCTGCCTGCCCAGTCCCTTGTTTCCTGGGACTGGGAGAGGGGAGTGAGTGGTATCTGAGTGAGACCTGGTCTTAGTAGAATATGATCTAAAACGTAGGGCAAAGATGGGTGGAAAAATAGAGATGTCGGATGAGAGACTAATAGTGTCTCCACTTGAAATGACAGTGGGGAACTGTGGTAGTCTACGATGATCAGGCCAAGAAGAAAGACTTCGGCTGCCTCGCACGTCTACAAAGGAAGCCTCCTGGGGCAACAGGCCTGCTTCCACCCGTGCCCCATCTGATCCCCTAACTTCTTTCACTGTCAGCTCTCCCCAACTCACATTTGATAAGCTTCACCACTTCCAGATGTGAGCTATTGGTCACCATGGTGCCGTTCACCTGTTGGGGGACAAACGACATTATTGAGTAATGGCAGTGGAAGCCCAGGGGACCCTTCTCCTGGTCAGTGGTCAATCGCCACTCCTTTAGGGAGCCATTTATCAATGTTCTCTAGCATAGTAAAACATTACAGAAGCTTGGTCAGAGTCAAGAAGGGCCTAGAATATGGAACCCAGCTATCTTAGCCCCCAGTCTCTGTCACATTACACTACCCACTCTCATGGCACCACCCCCTACTCAGTGGCTGATGACAGCTGGCACGAAAACGGAAGTGCGGAGGATGGCCAAGGCCAGAAGTGACGCTGCACCCCCTCCTCTGGGGGCGGAGAGGGAAGGTCACTCACCTTGATGATCCGGTCGCCTTCTTTCACACCGGCTTTCATGGCTGCACCTCCTGTGAGGAAGGAGAAGGCCTGGTCAGCAGAGCCCCACGACCTTTCCAGAGGTGGCTGAATCTACACCAACAACCCTGTCAGGTCACCTTCCCCCTCAAATCTCTTCTCACCTCTCTGTGTTAAGTGCCTCAAATGCTGGGTGTACATCCTATTCTGCTCCAGTGACACAACTCCCTTTGAGCTGGACTGGACTGTATAAGGACACATCTCTTGCTCTTTCCTCCACCTGGCTCAGAAGCCAGACTTCTCCTCTGAGAGCCAGGCCAAGGTGGCAGAGAGGCAGGGCCATGCTCTGCGGAGAGTAACGTGTGCTTTATTTGAATGTGTCTAGATGTTCCAAGGTCAAATAAGAGTTATTTCTATTATCCAGTGGGAAGAACGAGTTCACTGTAGTAAATAATTGCTGAAGTAATAATCATTTTTAAGAGGAATATGAGAAAAGGATTACAACAAGCGTTTTCAAACTGTGGTCCCTAAGCCCTGAGAAGTTCACAAGGATATTATGGGGGTTCCTAGCATTAAGGATGATAATGATCACTGCTTTATTTTCTGTTAAAAAATTGTTCTGGAGCTGCAGTGGTTTTGATCACCACGTACAGTCATCCCTCGGTATCCACCGGGGATTAGTTCTAGTACCTCCCACAGATATCAAAATCTGCAGATGTTCAAGTCCCTTACTTAAAATGGAGTAGTACACACCTGCAGGTTTCGCATCTGTGGATTCAACCAACTGCAGATGGAAATTTCAATCTGCAGTTGGTTGAATCCATGGATGCAGAATTCTCAGATGCAAAACTCGCGGATATGGAAGGCCAAATGTAGTTTTAAATAAGTTAGAGTCCTAGTTTAAGTTATACCCAGAAAGCATAAGAAACACTAATGATGAGATAAGTTCACGAGGGACTCCCCTGGGGGTCCAGTGGTAAAGAATCCACCTTTCAATGCAGGGGACTCGGGTTCGATCCCTGGGTGGGGAACTAAGATCCCACATGCCACGGGGCAACTAAGCTCACGCACCACAACTACCGAGCCCACGTGCCTCAACTAGAGAGTCCCCGTGCCACAACTACTGAGCCCGTCTGCCTCAACTAGACAGCCCACGTGCCACAACTACTGAGCCCACATGCCTCATCTACTGAGCCTGTGCACCGCAACTACTGAGGCTGCGTGCTCTGGAGCCTGCACGTCACAACTAGAGAGAAGCTTGTGTGTCACAACGAAAAGCCTGCGAGCTGCAATGGAAGTTCCCGCGTAATGAAACTAAGACCCGATGCAGCTAAATAAATAAATAAATAAATATTTAAAATATGTTCACTCAGAAAGCTTATTAAAAAAAAAAAGAAAGAAGTTCACGAGAAGCATAAAAATTATGTTTCTTGTAAATCTGCCCCAAGATGATCCTTAAATCTGTAAGTTGCATTCATCTGATCAAAACAAAACTCCGACAAAGCACATCTAGATGTTTCTAGTCTGAAAAGAGAAATTACAGTGATGACTACATTCCAATTTGGCTTTTCAGTATTGGGACCCAGACTACCCTCATCTTAAGTGTGCTATTTATGGAAAAGTACTTGCAAGTAGCTTGAAAACTCTCTTTTACACTGTCATCTAGAAACTAAAGGTGGAGGGGAAAGAGCTATTTTGCCTGAATGTATGAAACACATGAGGTGACTTCCAATAACTTAGGGATTAAAAGAAATTAAACTTTTCAGAGTAACGGAATTAGAGCAGAAGTTCTAAACTTCAGTAAGCATGAGACTCACCAGGAAAACTTGTTAAAAAGCATATTCCTTGACCCCCTTGCTAGCAAGTGATTCAGTACTTCTGGGACTGGGCCCCGGAATGAGGATTTCAACCATCCTAAGGGCCTAGGTGATTCTGATGTAGGCAGAACACAGACTACACTTTGAGAAACAGTGAACTGAGAAGCCTAAAATCTGGAAAAGACAACAACTGCTTTGTTGCTCTTATGATTTCAATGCCAATCCAAATGAATTCTCTTCTTCTCTCCTGCCCGAAGTACTCACACATACACAGATTTTCCAAAACTCGTATTTTACTGCAAGCCATCCTTTTGTTCTTTCCTCTCCAGGTCTGAGAGGAGGCAAAATTGGAAGAGTGCTGAACTCACACTTCACTGGAGGGGGTCCCCATACTTTTTGTATCAAACAGACCATAGAGGCAAAGTACAAGTTACTGGCAGTCCCACTTGCTCTGTCTCACCCTAGTCCAGGAACCTTGAGAGAATATGGAAGCAAAGAATAAAAGTATCTTTTCAGAGCTCTACCCTAGGATATGAAAAACAAACCTCTCGCTGACAAAAGTTAACTACCAAACATAAGGAGCTATAATTATTTATATCCCTGTATGATCCACATACCTCATTTTGGTCATAAATTTGAAATTCTCTTTTCACTTTTCCCATTAAATAAATCCCAAATATGTCTCCCAAATTATGTAAGTATATTTCCTTCCCATTTTGCACTGTACTTAGTGGGAAAATGCTGGCCTGCCCCCTACCCCTTTCCTTGTACTCTTCTTCAAGCCTATGATGCACCACGTTGCCAGCCCCAATCCCATGGGCTACACTGAAGTTCACTCCTGTTACGGATACTTGCTTGTGTTAGGGATACTTGCTTCATACTCTCCGCTACTCCCATCTCCTTCCTGATCACCTTCTTCAGTCTGGGTCACTTAACAACAATGATTCTACCACCTGACATATGACAGTGCTTTGAAATATCTGAAGCTTTTTCACACATCACTGGTTACTCGATCGATTTGCTTATAATGCCCTCCCTTCCCACCCAATTTCTATCCCGCCAATGTGTTTTCCATGGCCATCTTTCAAACTACTCCTGAAATCCTATTTTCTTCTAAGGAGGCTTCCTAAACTGATCAGAAGGGAAATACTTAGCTTCGAACCACCAACTACCCAAATACAAACTTACAAACACCCTTTCCTCCCACGTACTGCCCAACACACATCTTTAGGTCATTTATTACTTACTGTTAAAACATCTGCAAATACATTTAGACCAGTGTGCCTGTCTCAACTGTGAACTGCCGCAGCACAGTGACCATTCGTGCACGGAGCAAGGTCATGTGAAGGTGAGAAAGAAGAAAGCGGGTCTTCGATTTCTCCACGGCATCTTCCAACCCAGGACGAGGAGCTCCCCTGGAGGGCAATCAGGCACCTGCCTGATGACCTGAAGGCTATTCTGCCATTTTCACACTTCCAACAGGGGAAACAAGCCTGGAGTGCGATCCCTAGAAATCCCGCCTGGAAGCTTAGCATTGTGGAGACTTCCCCAGATGCCCCTGGGGAACCAGTTCTAGAATGAATCATTCATGCCCCAGGATGCCCAGGCCTCCAGAGAAAGCACCTGCAAGTCCTTCAAGTCCTATGGCACTGTCACATACATGGTGGCTTTGTAAGAACTTTGTAAGAACTGCAGGTGGCAGGGACGCAACACTCACCAGGCCGTACAGACTGCACCAGAACGATGCGATCCCCGCTGACTGTGAAGCCGAAGCCATGCTGGTCCTTTTGGATGATGACACAGCGTTGAACGAGACCTGGTGAGAGGTAAGGAGGAGAAAGAAGGGAGTTCGGTAGGAACTGTTATCAGAAAGTTAGTGCACACAAGCCAAGACCAACCCAGGGAGGTCCCAGTGTGCTTCTTCCTCCAGAAAGCCTTTCCAGGTTCCCCAGACTTTTCCTGCCCACACACACTATTGAAATGCCTGCCTTCCTCAGTGATCGACAAAACCCGGTCATCTACTCTGTATGCTATACAAGAAATTCCTTTCTCTGAGGTGCTGAGATGTTTGTCTCTCTTATGTATGTCTGTCTTTTTAGGCCTGTTTGGGTGAGACTGGTCGAAGAAGGGGATGGCCAACTCCAGCCTGAAGGCTAGTGTTACAGAGAAGCAGCCCTGGGATTGAAGCCTAAGTGAGACTGGAAGTTTTCCATTAAATTACGTCCAATGAATACAGCAGATGGGACACCAGTGCTTGTTGATTCTGCAGAGCTGGGTAACTCACGTGGGGTGACTGAGGGCTGGCCCCTTGTCAAAATCCAGGGAAGGATAAATGACAAGAGAAAACCCTGTTTGTCACACATACAACCATATGCAGAGCGTAGGAAAAAAGAAAGAGAGACTATAACTCCTAACTGACTCCATCCCTATGGGCGTGTACTAGACATCGTGCACGTGTGCAGGTATGTGTGACTGCTTCCTGTGATGGAGAAAGCATGAATTATAGAGTTAAAACTCAACTGGTTTCAGGTCCTGGCTTTGTCTCCTACAAGCCTGTACACCTGGCAAATTTTTTAACCACTCTGTGTCTCAGCTTCCTCATCCATAAAATAGGCATGATAAAATCTACTTTCTACAACTGATAAAAGGACTGAATAAGGTAATCTGTATAAAGCATATAACACAATACCTAGCACACATTATGAGCTCAATATAAAGGCTAAGTTGTTTTACATCTGGGGTATACAGATCTGTCTGTATGAGTAAACACCTCTGTGTCTACGTGTTAATGCCCCGAGAAGGTTACCTGTTGTCTCAGAGGTGTCGGAGGGTTGGCGGTGGTGGGAAGGGGACTTGCGTTCAGGTGCTGAATCTCCCAAAGACAGGCTACTTAACCTGGAGAAAGAGTAAGAAAAGCACAACAATGAATTGGGCAGGGAGGGACCAGCCTTGTAGCAGAAAGAAGCTCTGTCAAAGGGGCCCTGAGTCTTGGGTAACAAGAGACCGACCCTCTCACCCTGTAACCCGCTCAATCTGGTGGGAGATCAGCCACATCTACACCACTGGCAACATCACCTATCTGGAATCCTAGGTTGGCAAGGCAAGCATGATCTCTTTAATACCCAGCAAGGCGTGAAGGGAAATAGCCCTTCCTGGAGTCAGGAGACAAAGAGACGGTAGCAAGAACAGGGTGTGAACAAATATACATGCTTGTTGGGTCTTACCAGGCTGCAATGGGGCTGATGGAACAGAACGGAGGCAGCAGAGGAAATGAATGCGAGAAAAAGACAAGAAAAAACCAAACAGCTAGTTAGTTTTAGGTGATGATTTTTAAGGAAGGGGGGACTGGAAGGCAAGGATGGGAGGGCCACAAACACACAGAGGCCTGCAGGGACACAGCAGAGGACTGCAGTGGCTGTATCAGAGACACTCTCTCTCACTTTAGCTTCGTCTCTTCGTCCCTCTCCAAAACAAGTGTCTCTAGGAGGGTAACTAGGCCTTTAGTTGCGTAATTGGCAACTTTACCTGTTGGGTAATTGGCAACTTGTACCCTGTTCTAGAAAGGAGGCGTACAATATGACCCAAACCTCTGAAATTCCATTTATTTTGTGTGTACCATGGGAGAACAGGAATCTGGTCTGTTTGCTGGTAGTATTCCAACCCCATTCCTACAGCCAGCTTGAGGCACCCTGCTTAGAAACTATTAAGGCCCTACAACCTCAAGGTACCACGGATCACCAAACCAGATCTAATAATAGGGCCCCTGCAGGAAGAGGAGAAGCTCAGATCATTGCTATGCCTCTCCTTTCCAGAAAAGTGTACAAGTTGCCAGTTCCTACTCAGAAGTTGCTGCCCCTCCGGAGGGTGTCTCCTATTCGTATCTAGCAAATGACTGTGTAGAAGGGGCTTCACGTAAGCACTGTGTGCAGTGGCAGAACACTGCAAAGACTCTAAGTGTTCATAAGGGGTGACTGGTTAAATAAACTGCAGTACGTCAATATAATGACACAGTATTCGGTCATATAAAAGAAGGAGGGGGCTCTTTATACATGATAAGGAATAGTCTCCAAGGCATGCTGCTGAGTGGAAGATGCAGAATTATGTAGACGGTAAAAGAGAAGGAATGATTTGTTTATATGTTTGCTTACATATATATAAAATGTGTAAAATACCTCTGAGAGGGTACAAAAGAAAACATAGATCACTGGTTGCCTCTGAGGAAGGAAACTGTGCCAGGGGCAAAGGGATGGAGTTGGAATCTTTTCCTTATCTTCTCGTTCGTACCATTTAAATTCTGAGTCATGTGAAGGTACTAACTATTCAAATAATAAATACAACACAGTACAAATAAATAACTTTTAAATTTAAAAGAGGGGTCTTCTTCCCCCCTCACCCTGGCACCCCACTTACCTGGACAGGTGAGACTGCTTTTTACTGGCTGATCTTTGGATCAGAGAGAGAAGGACATCAAGGAAGAAGAGAGCGTGGGGCCCAGGAGAGAGTGATGCAGGAAAGTAGGAAGCAGGGAAGAAAAACGAAACAAGACATAAACCAGACAAGACACTGGAGGTGGTTGGTTTAAAAGAAAAACCACAATCAAGCTAAGAAGGACCCGGGGTGGAAACTGGCCAATGCAGTAGAATCACCTTACTAAAATGCAGATTTACCTGTGCCACTTTGCTGATTAAAACCTTTTAGAGCTTCCCCATTGTACTTGGGAGAAAGGTCACCCTGTCTTCAAGCGAGGCCATTAGGCACAGCATCGAAAAGGAAGTACTGCCTGATGCCCCTCCGCTGTCTCCCACAGCTCCCAGTACCTATCCTTACTGCATACAATCAGTGGAGCTGCTTGTGCGCTTGTCCGTAGGGCTGTAAGGTCCACGAAGTCAGGGTGGTCTTGTTGATCAGCACCCCCTGTGCCTAACACAGTGAATGCTCCGTCCTATTTTTGGTCCCTGCTCTTCACTGTTCTTTCTCTTGCCATGGTTTCCGGCTCCTGTCTTTGCCCATACTGTTCCTTCTTCCTAGATATTCTTCTTACTCTACTCCCCATTACTACACCTGTCAGCCAGACAAGAAGGTGAACTTCCAGAAGCTACAACTTCTGGCTTTCTTCAAATTACCCTAGTCCATCATGCCCTGCCACCCCCCACCTCCTCATCCAAGGTAAAGGTTCAAGACTTAGCTCATCATTTAATAAGTGTCCTAGAATCTATGCATGATAACTAAACGTACTGCGGTAATCATTTTGCAATACACGGATGCCAGGTCACTATGCTGGACATCTTAAACTTAGGCAGTGCTGTGTGTCAATTATACCTCAGTAAAATGGAAAAAAAAGAAGTCCTAGATTCTAGACCCGTGCTATCTACCTAATACAACAGCCACTAGCCGCATGTAGATACTTAAATTTTAAAATTCTGTTTCTCAGTTGTGCTATGGCTAGTGGCTACCATACAGGACAGTGCGGGATAAAACACTTCCGTCGCTGCGGAAAGTTCAACGGCACAGCGCTGCTCTACGCACTATGCCAGGCACTACGGGGTACAAAAACGAATAAGATACAGTCGCTCGCAGGTAATGGATGAGGTATACATATAGAACTTTAGTATAAACACTGAAGGGCAACAGCTCCACCCCCCACATCGGTGAGGGATTCTCAGAATGAACTATTAAAGGCTTTTTATTCCAGCTGCTCATCTGCTGTCTTCGGCTTGATCCACAACATCCCACCCCTGGGTTACCCAGAATGGGCTTGCACTTCTCCCTCCTTACTACTTCAGGAGAAAGCCCATTCTATCTTGGGACAGCTTGGGCCTCCTCCTTGCCTTGTTCTGCTTGACTCTGCAGGAAACTGGTTTCCTATGCCCACATTTAAGCTTAGAAGGAATGGTCTGGTAACTTAACCTGGTTTGGTTTTGCATTTGAGCTAGGCTGTGAGCTGTTCAACGTAACTCAAAGCACATGAAGCCAAGGTTTATGTACCTGGCTGTAGAGGACTGTTAGGGGCAAAGACAAGGATCATTTCAGCAGCCATTGAAAGTTCCTCTAAAAAAAAAAAAAAAATCACAGGCTAGGGCAGAGACAGTGGAGGACATGGGGGATTACAACATAAGTATAATTTTAACAGATGCAAAAAAATTTTTTTTTTCTCTTTGAGAGCTTAAAGGAGGAAAAACTACCACTGAATTAGAGGAGGGAGAAATGCCTGTATCAGCAGATCAAGACTTTAATGGCGGGCTCTCCCTCTTCCTGATGATATTCCCATCAAAACTGGGCAGCAGAGATCAGATTCCAATCAGCCTAAATCTGATGGGCATGGAGAAGGCCCAGGAGAGTAGAGAAGTTCCCGCAAAATTTGTGGCTCTCTAAATGGCATCATTGAGATAGATCTTCTGAATCAACTTCTCAGTAACCCCCATATTTATCCAGTCAGTTACGGAGACTGATAAGTCCTTTTATGTTTTCCCAGAGTTGCTCCTTCCTTTACATTATCACTGATATCCATCACTTTAAGCCACATGTCCATTGCCTCAAGTCTGGATGACTTAAAAAAAAAACCACAAACCTCTTGTTTTCACTCTCCAGTCCCTCCAGCATTCTATCACAAAGGACTAACTTTCCCAAACAATATTTCTTTGGGTCCCCCCCCGGTCAAGAACCTATGATTTCCCTTCTTACTCTCTATATGATCGGATGTGCGTGCATTTACCTGGTGTTAAAGGCCTTTCATCAAGTGGATCCAAGTACCTTTCAAATTCACTCTTATTACTTGTTCACTTTTCCTTACCTCTACTGGATCCTAAAAGACTCTGTGCTCATTCTCACCTCTGCTTTATGAAGACCTCCATCCCTTCTCCTCTCTATCCCTCCTTTACTCCTTTTTCAAGGCTCTGGTCAAATGGCACTGATTCCATGAAGCATTCCCTGGCCACTGCAGCTCACATTTCTTTTACCCCAACATTTTTTGGGAAAATTTTCAAACCTATTATTAAAGTTGAAGGGGCAGCATGATGAACACCTATATACCCTTCATCTAGATTCACCAATTAACATTTGTCACTTGCTTTATCTTTCTATGATTATACACTTTTTCCCATTTGAAAGTTGCACACATCATGACATTTTACCCCTAAATATTTCAGCATATGTCCCCCGAGACCCTTGGAATTCTATATAACCACAATGCCATCAGCACACCCAATGAGTTTAACTTTGATACGATAATATTATCTAGGGCTTCCCTGGTGGCGCAGTGGTTAAGAATCCTCCTGCCAATGCAGGGGACACGGGTTCAATCCCTGGTCTGGGAAGATCCCACATGCCACAGAGTAACTAGGCCCGTGAGCCACAACTACTGAGCCTGCACTCTAGAGCCCACAAGCCACGACTACTGGAGCCTGCGAGCCACAACTACTGAAGCCCGCGTGCCTAGAGCCCATGCTCCGCAACAAGAGAAGCCACAACGATGAGAAGCCACGACGATGAGAAGCCCGCGCACTGCAACGAAGAATAGTCCCCACTCGCTGCAACTAGAGAAAGCCCGTGCACAGCAACGAAGACCCTACACAGCCAAAAAATAAAAACAAAAAATAATATTATCTAATATATAGTCTATATTCAAATTTCCCTAATTGTTTCATTAATCTCCTACATAGTTGTTCCCCAACTGCCTCAATACACGATCCAGTCAAAGATCTCAGAATTGCATTCGTTCATGGTTTTTAGATTCATTTAATCTAGAATATCAGCCCCTGCCTGCCCACTTTTCTTGGTCTCTCCTAACACTGACATGTAGAAGAGTTCAGGCCAGTTGTCTTATTGAATGGCCTGTAACAGATCTGCCTGTCTCCTCAGGATTAGATTCAGATTAAACATTTTAAAATAATATTAGATAAGTGATGTAGCATAACTTGCCCATTTCTGGTGATCCTACATTTGATTACTTAGATAAGTTGGTGCTCCTAAGATTTCTCAATGGTAAAAGTATATTTTCCCATTTGAATTAGTGGGAAATCCGTGGGGTGATATTTTGAGACTGGTGAATATCCTGTTGTCCAACAGCTTCCCACCCAATAGTTTTACTATCCATTGATGATCCTGGCCTGAACCACTTACTGCACTGGTGGCTGCAAAATGGCATTTTGGGAAAATTTTCAAACCTATATTAAAGTTGAAGGGGCAGCATGATGAGGTGAAGGAATTCTATCATTCCTTCTACATCTATTAGCAGGCAATC